TTGTTGCCCCCAAATGCCTTGGTACGGCCGAGAATGGGGAGAGTCCGCTCTCCCTCTCGAAATGCTCTCACATGGCCATGCGTATATAGTTTTTGCCCGGGAAGTCCTACTCATCGCGTTCTCGTGGCGGGGGTGTTGTTTAAGAAATTGAGAGGACGAAAAGAGAATGTACAACGCTTTAACTGGGTTGGTTGATATGGATAGTCCACCTAGGGGAGTTGGAAAACTGGGATTTTAAACCAATGGTGCACATGAGTTCCAGTATCCTGAGGGAACAAATGGCATATGGATCAATCGTTGGTCACCATCTACCATGTGATTGCATCTCCTTACGTTGCTCCAATACCTTATGGATCAGAACTTTAGGTTGAAGTCTCAAGGTATGTGTCCCACTAAGGAAACCACTTTCTTCGGTCTGCGCACCCGGACAGTATCACAGCCCTCACATAAATCGAATGATTTATGTTGCGCATATCTATTTGGTGCCTCCTTGTACCAATGTTTATGTGTTTAAATAAATAAAAGTAGAGCTTTGTTAGAAGAAAAAAGGTGGGAAAAGCCCAAGATATGACATTAGTCTAAGGAATCTTAAATGACTTTAAGAAATATTAGCCATTCAACGAACAGTCAGTATAGAGTTAAATTATATTATACAAAACCAAAGAAATAAAGTGGATACACTGCTTATACATGGTTCTAAAATCGTAATGCATGCAGTAGAGGAAATCATCCATATGGCTGCAGAATAGTTGGCCTCATGGAGCCATGATAAAGTCTCAAAAACTCATTCAGCCTCGACCACATAACTTCATTATTGTTTGTGTGCACTTCAGTTGTTGGATCCACAAAATGGTGCTTAAGAATAGCGATATGATGCACATAACCAAGCCTATGTAGGAGTCTGTACACTCTCCAATCATCCGTATATATTGTAGTACCTGGCTGCGGCCAATGTTACTGGTGCTTTTATTATCCAGTTCGCAATAATTGTCATTATGGTTTTCATCACAAAGTAACATCAGCTATAATACCAAAACTTTATTTAGTCAAATGGATGATCGACTTTCGCGCCAAAATCCGAGATCTGTTATCTAACACGTGGTTAGTTTGTCCATAAATTACAGTCTCGCCGTTTTATTTGTTATAGGCGCCTAATTATCACATTTTCCATAAAATCCCCTGTGAACCGGTCGTACGTTAACATAAGGTACTGAAATTGGCGCTGGGAACCCTCAAATGCTTCTAATTGGCTCGTCCATACATTATAGTCTCACTGTCGTTGATTTTAATCACATTGGTAGATGTACACATGCCATTATATCTGTCGTGATTCTCATAACTCATATCAGTGTAGCGGGAAAAGAAATTAATAAAACAAGAATCGCTTGAGAAGACTTCATTGAAAATTTAAACATGAAAGGGGTACAGTTCGAAAGAAAGATGCTATTGCAATCGATTTTACATCATGTCACCCAATATCTACAAGAATGAACTAAGTATTTCATTGATTCGAACCAAAAAGTCTGTACTAATCGATATTTCTTAATCTCTTCGTCCTTAACTATTTTCTAATGTATTCTTATGTGAGCCGGAATAGGGTGCTATTGATATGCATTGGTTAATAATACATGACAAATGTAACAATCGCCTTTGATGATGTATGATGATGTATGGAATGGAGTTGAAATCTGTAACCAGTGTTCAAAAATCGAGTTTTTCACCGTTAATCGATCACATCAGTCATTGAAACCATAAAATCCGGATTTTAGTAAACTGAGTCCTAATAACATATTAACTATATTGAATCTAAATGCTAGAATATTTGTACAGCAAAACTTCAGTGTCACTATCACATAGTGTTCATTAGTCATCAATATTATATAACTCAGCCTGATAAACTGAGTGCATAGACAACTTCATGCTCATACCAAGTTACCCGGTAGCATAGTTTCATTCGGGAATATGCATAAGCGCTTACTGGTTGAAAAAGTCGTCGACTAGCAATGTTTAAAACATGCTTTGACTGAATATGTTAAGCTAACTATTCAGGAGAGTTGCTAAATCGACAACCAATGTTCATTATAAGGAAATTGTAAGACCTAAGTAAATCTTATTATTTACGCAGTTAAACTATGAGAATTGGACAAGAAATCAAATGTTGCAATCTTTATTTATTTAAACGCATAAATACTGGCACAAAGGGACACCAAATACATATGCACTGCATAAATCGTTCGATTTGTGTGAAAGCTGCGATATTGTCCGGGTGACCAAACCGAAGCAGGTATTTTTCTTAGGGGGCCACACTCAGAGCCTCTGACTTAAGGATCTAATCCACAAGGCAATGGAGCAACGTTAGGAGATGCAGTCCCGTGGTAGCCAGTCACTAATAATAGATTCATACGCTATTTGTTCTCTCAGAATCCTGGAACATGTAGTAAGCCCATTTCACTACTGTATTATTTATCTGCTCACTGTAATTTAGACACTTGATCCATCATGTAATTTTCTGTATGAGTCTGATTGAGCACATGTCAGTTTTCAATCTACTCTCCCATTGGTTGTGATACACAGACAATCAATAATTTAACCACACTTGATTAACACTCATAAATATATATGGATTTTTAGCACATACACACTATTGGTTTCACTGTGTGCTTTCTTCGTGTACGCTTGCGGATTTTACCAGTCTTTAACAATAAACTATATCTATAACAGGTGTTCAGGCTTTTGAATAAATTTCGATGATGCAATGAGAAGACATCCTGATTAGTAGGAGAGATGATGGTTCCATCCAATGCGCTATATACAGAAAACCAACATGGACAGGGCAATATCTTAATTTTCATAGTCACTTCACTATTCATTACAAACGCGGTTTAATAAAGAGCTTATTCAATAGAATCAATCGTATTTGTACTAGTGATACTATTGAAGTAGAAACGAAGCTCTTGACTGATACGGTAATGAATAATGGTTATTCTTTGAAGTTCATTAAACCGCTGGAAGGGTTGCAATACGATGAGACCTATGACGCTTCTGGCACCCAAAAAGCGAGTTTATATTACGTTACCATTCAGAGGCGACACAAATAGTCTCAAGTTGAAACAGAGATATAAATTAGCTATCAACTGGACATTTCATGCAGCCCAATTCGTCATTATCGAAAAGATAAGGTCTATGTTTCACTAAACAGCACGAAAGCGATTGTGTCACATCCCATTGCGTCTATCAATTTACGTGTATGTTTGGGAACAGATACATAAGGAGGAGCAATCGTGATTTGTAATTAAGGGTGGGTGAACACATACCAAAATGGTTGCAGAAACAAAGGGATATCAATGGTTAAATAAGATCACAGGATAGACAGATATCATCCTCCATTGTGAAACATTTGACTGAGACGGGTCATAAGGTTGACATCAAATCAGCATTTGTAGTGTTATACAAAAGCTTTCAAGGACGTATACTAAGGTTTATTGAAGCCTTTTGCTATACGGAAATTGAAACCTCCTTTATGTGTTCAAAAACAGTTTGTCCTTACCCTTAACCTATCCAGGTAGCACAGATTTATCACCGAGAATGGTTATCACATTGTTTTTATGTACTTTATTATCATTTTGTCTTTGTCACGGCTTACCTTTAACCTGTCTAGTTGACCTTATAATTTTCATATATAAGTGTTTTTAACGAGTATGCAATGTGTGATCAGATTGTTCGAAATGTATTGAGCAAATCTATCATCACATAATTCTGATAAACTTCATCTTCTCATTGCATGATCGAAATTTATCAAACGGGACTAATTGTTTTAAATTTTGAATAAATCTCGAGTAAATCCATAATTCTATTAGGAGATTTAGCCTGCATTAAATACCTCAGTTAACGAGATAATAGCAATTAGAGTCAGATACAGGGGAAATTAGCCTCTACAAAAACCATGTACACTACCAGTTTAGAATCAAGGTTTTCCAACTGCCCTAGATAGATCCTCTATATCCACCAAAGCATCGGACATTCACTTTTCCTCGTCATTCTCTTAATTTCGTAAACAACACCCCAACCTCTAGAAGTCAATGTGTAGGACTTCCCTGACAGTGGTTGTATACGTATAGGGCCATATGAGGTCATTTGAAGAGGAAAAGCTAACTGGTGGCCACATTGCAACATGATCAATAGCATTCGATCTGCACTAATAAGGACTAGACACGCATCACATTGATCGCCACCTAGTGATCAATCAATTGTGATTACAACTCAGTCCTACAGGAGGTCGGTCGCGGCTCAGATAGCTCAGTGGTAACGTTTCTGACTGTGAAGCTGGGTGACACGAGATCGAATCCGCCAGGGAGCACCAGTTCCCTCAAGAAAACAGGTACACCTTGCTGACGAATGCCAAGTAACACGAAACCCGGGTCCAGGGTTTCCTGTCGACTACCTCCAACCACCATGTAATCTCAATATATAGTGCACGCATTGTCGAGTCACCTAGACTGGTGGCCACATTGCAACATGATCAATAACATTCGATCTGCACTAATAAGGACTAGACACGCATCACATTGATCACCACCCAGTGATCAATCAATTGTGAGAGCTAACTCTCTCCCAGCCATCTCAACTGATGAAGCTTCAATACTTCATCAGTTGATTTTCTATCCTTAATTAGTCCCCGTTTCCTAACAACTGCATTACTTACTCGATGGTCCCAGGATATACGAGCAATGTTTCGAAGACACCACACACCTATGATCAAATAATAGTAACCTACGAATATCCACTACTCTTACCGGCCATGTAACACTTCCATAAAGTAGGACGGAACGAACCGCTAAGTAGTAAAACACGTTCTTTGGTTGATAGACAGATATCTCACCTACGTCATAAATGACGCAAGTTGGCAAAAGCTAGTCGAACAATGTTATAGAAATACATATAGATAGATAGATTTAAAAAAGAAGAAAAGAAAAATACTCTATACAATTACAAGTATGGTATCATTTCAATGGCAACGCTGTGGTTACAGTTCTTGGTTGAGTTGAATTATTTATTATTTGTATATTATTCATTTTATTCATTGAAATGACTGAATTAGTTTGATTTTGTATAATTAATTTATTAATATGTTCACGTGTTAATAATGCTAAACCTAATTGATCATCTTTATTAAATGGTTGACCCATTAAACGTAAAAAACGTCTTGATGCTTGTATTGATTCTTCTATAGATAAATTAATAAATGCATCTTGTAATTGGGATTGTATCCAACCGGGTAATTTAAAACGTTTATCTGCGCGAGCATAACGCTAAAATTTTAAAAACCAAATATCATAATATCTAAGCAAAGATGAATAGTGAATAGTAATGGAATCTTGAAAATGTGTTTCGTCCTATTTGAGATTCGTCAACCGAACGAAACTACATCTTAGAGTTGATATTCACTTTGGGATTCGAACCCAATACTGTTCACTTTAAATGTCATCGTGTTATTCACTTAACTACTGAGTCCTGATAACCACCTACTTGTGCAATGGGATGAAGTTTAAATTCACTTGGTGTTCTTTTACTTGTATTTTCCCATTGTTTTACTTGTATCTTCTCATCAGTCTCATGGTGGTATATGTGCATCCTGTGCGGATTGCCTCGATATATCCTTAAGCCATAAGCATTATAGGCAAAGATGGATAATGGGTAGCAGTGGAATTCAGTACGGTACTGGGTTCGAGTCCCGGAATGAGCATCAACTCTGGAATGCAGGTACATCCGGTTGACGAGTCCCAAATAGGACGAAACGTGCTTTGTCCTGAATTCCACTGTTAGCCACTATCCATCATAGAAAAATTGTATTTAAAATAATCTAATGTTTCAACCGGTCAACTGGTTTGAACTCCTTCAAGATAAAGAGAGGCGGTGGATATATATAAGAAAGTTTTAACATAGATTTACTACAAAACTACTACCACTATTACAAACGACTTACTTTATCCGCTAAAATCATAATACCATAATCGGATTTACCACGAATAGCTCGTCCTAAACATTGTGCAGCGTGACGCATTGCATCGAATGTAATAAATTCATTCGGTCGAACATTGTATTGTTCACGAAGGAAATCTAAACGAGCCTAATAAAAAAAATAAAATTAAATATGTTAAACAATAATGCGGATAATCAAAAATTGTAGAGTTTGTAAAGTTTAAAAAGGATTTACTATTCAAAATCTATAAAGGTGAATAGTTTGCTAGTTCTAGCCTACATGAACATACTTACTTACGCATGTTACACCTCATGGAGGAGCATAGACCACTCACCAGCACTCTCCATCCAACCCTGTCCTGGGCAATCCTTTCCAGTTGTTATTGATCTTTTTTGGCTTCTTCCGATTCCTGATGTAGTGTGTTCTTTAGGCTTCCTCTTTATCACTTCCCTTCAGGATTCCAAGTTGGGGCTACATCACCATACATTATCAGTATTATTAGCGATGTAGGAGAAGAGTCTTATATCTTTGCATTCGCAAAAATTGATGTGTTCCTCACACATGGTGAACTGTTATGCCTCATTAGTGTTGCAATGAGTACAAAAAATTAGAGCTACACTACTTAATCAAAACTCTACTAAAAATGATCTATGTATTGTTGTAATAATAAGATCAATAGTTGAGATCATGAGTCCATTGAAGTTAGACCATCATGAAAAACATGGAAACACTGGACGGCCGTTTCATCTTATTGTGAGACCCCTCAGCAGTGCGCACCCACGACCTCGCCTAACGGAATTCGAACCCAGCATCTACCATTCTCGCGCGAGAGCGCCTAACCACTAGACCACTGAGCTGGCATCCAACGATGTTATTGAGGAGTCCTACAGTAGTATGAAACGGCCGTCCAATGCTTCCAGGTTTTCCATGGTAGTCTAGCTTCAATCGACTGATGATCTCAACTATTGGAATTACTACAATCTCCACAAAACCCCTTCTGATACTAATAATAAGATGTCTGCTACTTCTGTATATGTCATTAAAATCTAAATATAAAACTGAGTTAATCTGAAATGGGGTATCAGTTCACTAAGTTCTACAGACAAGTATTGGTTACACATAGAGAATGTAATGAAAAAAATGGAGATTCAAATAGCTCTCATTGTTTAGTAACTCGATTCATTACAATAATCATGCAGTTGATAAATAGGTGACCTAAACATTTAAACAAGTCACCGTAAATCCAAAAAAATGCACGATCACAATTGGGTTTAAACATAGACCATCATGTTTCGTCTCATAACAACTTAACATTTAAACTACACATTATTGAAAACTGACTGAAGTTAGGAATGTAAACTACTGGATGCAAACTTAATGATACAAGGATCAAGATCTTCTAACTATACTCAAAAGCTTTGGGTTCAATATAAGTTGGGTTTTGAATTCAAACTCCTTAGTAGTCCCTCAAATGCCTTGATATGGCCGAGAGTGGGGAGAGTTCGCTCTCCTTCTTTAAATGACTTCACATGGCCACATGTATACAACCACTCTGACCCATAAGTTCTAATGAGTCCTAAGTTTGATCTCTAGTGAGATCGTGGGTGTCCACTGCCGATGAGCCTTATACCAGAAAGAAACAACTGTGCAATGTCCTCTGGTTTTTTAATGGTATAACAACTGAGATCAATCTGTGATGAATACAACTTGAGTACAACTGTCAAGTTGTTACTTTTGAAGCATATATATTTAATAATAAATGGTGTGTACTCATAAATTCCAAACCTCCTCATGACTGAAGTAATAATCTATAAACCAAATGAAAAACAAATTGGAAAACAGACCGTTTTTCAGATAACTTTGATAGAAACTTTGGCATGAAACACGCATACGAAGTTTCTGTGTCTAGTTGAAGAAAAGTATTCAGAGTATGCACACACCACACACACACACACCAGTTTAAGAATTAAGTGCTAGTGAAAAAGAATTAAAGTTTTTTAAGATACAATAGAAATATTTTCACCTTGAATATTCGACTCTGTGTATACACATACGGTACACCGAACATGATAACACAACGGCCAAGATGATGATCTACAATTTTGGAAAAAAAATAGAAATGAATGCAATTTGATCTTTAAAAGAATAAGATACTTGTTCATTCTAATCAGAATGGACATTTATGGTGATCTTAATAGTCGATCTAGGCTAGGTAACCATTGAAAGCTTAGAAGTACTGGACGGTCGATTCGTCTAGTATGGAACTCCTCAGAGGCGTTCATCCATGATCCCACACTCTGGTATTGAACCCAGGACCTTTGATCTTGCGCGCAAACACTTAACCTCTAGACCAATGAGCCGGCATCCAATGATGTTAGTGTCTAACTCCAATTAATCCATAATCGAAAGTTTTGGGCTGGAATCCAGAGCGGAAGATCATGGATACACATTGTTGAGGAGTCTCATAATAGGATGAAACGGTCATCCAATGCTTCTAGGTTTTCAATGGTGGTCTAACATCAATCGATTCATGATCTCAATCAAAAACTTAAAAATCTACACAACTCCATACTGATAATGCGAAAACAATCTGAAACCTCATCACTCCTGGATAATAAGCTAATATTACCAGGGTAGGTTTAAGGTGAGAACTAACTGGTTTCGTATGGCTATGGCTTCAATAAACCTTAGTTTACGCTTTTTTTACACTTTTGTATAACACAACAAAAGCTGAGTTAAGATCAATCTTATGACCTGATTCAATTATGTGTCTGGCAATAGAGGATGATAAATATTTATCCTCTACTCTTATTAGGTCATTCGATTCTATTTGTTTCTACAGCCCTTTTGGTACATGTTCACACACCCTAATTTTGAGATCACGATTACTTCTCCCTATGTATATGTGACCACACACACACGCACACATTTAACAAGTATTTTATGTGTGATCAGATTGTTCTAAATGTATTGCACTAATATTATCATCATCATCACAGAGTTCTTATAACCATAGTCTTATCAGCATAGGGGTTGTGAGGATTATTAAGTTTTTGATTGAGATCATGAACCAATTGATGTTAGACCACCGTTGGAAACCTGAAAGCACTGGATGGCAGTTTCGTCCTATTGTGGGACTCCTCAGTAGTGCGCATCCACAGTCCCGCTCGCGGGATTCGAACTCATGGCTTTCAGTTTCGCGTACGAACGCTTAATCCACTGGACCACTGAGCCAGCATCCAATGGTTCATGATCTCAACCAAAAATCATCGTCTTGTTATTACACTATTTAGATTTATCAAAGGAACGAATTGCTTTAAATAATGAATATTACTTCTCAATGGAATATATTGACTACTTTCATCATAGTTGACTGGAGTTAGTTTAATTAAATGAGTAGTATATAGTGCCTAGTACTAAATAATATTGCAGTAAACGAGAACACACGAGTAGGGGCAATCGAATGTATCTGAGCCTGAAATTATAGAATCACTTACTAAAATCTGAAAATCATACAGTAAAATACTTCATTTACAAAATATCAGACCATCATGTCAGATTTCATTGTTTCTGCATTTTCATATTAATTGCATTCCATTTTCGTTATTTCCTTCTCAATCTTCTATTGAAATACATTCTATCCCTAACTATCGTTATATACTACTACTTATGTGGATATATAAGTAGTTAAAAGATAACATTATGCTGACTTTAATAAAAATATAGATTCTGATTAACTTAGTAAACATATCTAAACTATTGTATAATGAATAGGATAACAACAATGTTATAAGAATATATGTCTATTTCAAGTATTCAGTTAGCCCTCGAATGCCCTGGTATGGCTGAGAGTGGGGTGGGCCCTCCCTCCCTCTCGAAAGGCTCTCATACGACGACGCGTATACAGCCTCTGTCAGGGAAGTCCTACTCACTGCCTTCTCGTGGCGGGGGTGTTGTTTTCGAAATTGAGAGGACGAAAAGAGAATGTTCGGCGCTTTAACCGGATCCCAATCCCAAACTAATGGTGCACATAGGCTCCAGGATCCAGATGGAACAAATGGCGTATGAACCAATTGTTGGTCGCCGCCTACCATGGGACTGCATCTCCTGACGTTGCTCCACTACTTTGTGGATCAGACCTTTAGGTTTAAGGCTCGGGGTGTGGTCCCCGAAGAAAACCACCTGCTTCGGTTTTGGCACTTGGGCAGTATCACAGCCCACACACAAAATATGGTGTGGGGCATGTATATTTGGTGCCCTCTTGTACCAATACTTATGTGTTCAAATAAATAAATAAGTATTCAGTTAACAAGACAAACTATACAAGTTAACTAGATACAGTTCTGAACCGAACTTAATAAGTACGATCCAATTTATAGAACAAAATAAACAATGAATAGAATATAAACAAGTAATTAGACATAGGTATACGAAGAAGTACACCTTTATGTGTAGAAAGGGAACAATGACACCTATAACATTACTCATAACAAGACTGACAATTACAAAAAACAAACATTATGAGGATATGTACTTGTATACAAAGTCAAGAAAAAAAATAGAAGTACTTGGATTAAAATGACATATTTATGAATTAGGTATAGAGGTGTAATAAGAAAGACTACAATAAACCATTGTCTAATCAAGGCATACAAACATAAAGTATTTGTTTCACTCAGACATTTTCGATCACTGAGACTCCAAAACAGGAGACATATGAATTTATTTGGTGTTGTTTTACTTGTACCTTCCTATTGTTATTTAGGACTGTAATTGATTAGTCACTTATTGGCATATGTTTCAATTTCACACCATTGTACAAGTAGGTGGCTATCAGGACTCAGTAGTTAAGTGGATAACGCGATGGCGTTTAAAGCGAACAGTACTAGGTTCGAGTCCCGGAGTGAATATCAAATCTTGGGTGCAGGTACATCCAGCTAACGAATCACAAATAAGACGAAACGCGCGTTGTCCTGGATTCCACTACTAGCCACTATCCATCTTTACAGGAAACATATGGTTTAAACTAGCAATTATAAACTTCATGAGGTATAAATCATGTCCTGATTTCAATAAATGAAAATTTTCTTTTATCAAATTCTATCTGTCTGAACTGGTCCACCAAGGTGTTTGGAACCTATGTGGTTGCACCACAGGATTGAGCTGTACTATTCAGATTGTAGCATTAAAGCCTATATGGTGTCTGGTTCTCTTGTGAAGCGGGATTGAGCTATACTGCTCAGGTTATGAATTTTTATCCTGCGTAGTGTTTGGCTGTCCTGTAAGTGGGATTAAGCTGTACTGTTCGAGTTAAGCCTTGGGCGGTGTCTGGCTCTCATGCGAAACTGGATTGAACTGTATGGTTTAGTTTGTCATGTGAAAGTCTAGATTGTGTCCGGTTCTCCTCAAAACCAATGTAAAGTTACCCTGATCCACAAGGGTATATTATATCTATCTATCTATCTATTTATCTGGACCAGTGTATGTTTTAACTAACTTAATCAATGATGGATTTATAGTTTCATGAATCAATTAAGTTCTTTTAATTAGCATTTTGAGTTTAAACCGCAATCTCAGTTACTTGGTGAATTCTCTTTACTCTGACTGTATCTTGAAAATAAAGAACATCAAATATATACCTGTAAACATTGAACGCTTTTCCGTTCTTCAAGAAGAATCCTTCAATTGTAAGCCTAGAAGTATACTTGAAATGTAACCTGTTTATTCGGACCTTGTTATTCTTCAAATTCAGTTAAATAAATATGTTTAGATTTTGTAAATTCTTTTCATTTAACAAGCTTTTTTTTACCATTCACCTACAGCTGACAGATGTATTCCAAGTAACGGTCGGAGTCAGACAAGGCTGTCTACTCTCCCCCTCACTCTTTCTTTTGGTGGTGGTCGACTGAAATTATAAAGACCTCGACGTCTGAGTGGGAGCACGGAATACAATGGATAGCTCAGAATCAATTAAACGATTTGGACTTTAAAGATGACCTGACCCTCCTATCCCATATACACGAACAAATCTAAATAATGACAACTAGTGTAGAAGCAGCCTCTGCATCAGTAGGCTTCAATATACACAAAGGAAAAAGCAAGATCATCAAATACAACACGGAAAACACCGACCCAAACATACTTGATGGAGAAGTTTTGGAAGAGGTGGGATCTTTCGGGTACCTGGGAAGCATCACCGATAAAAAAGGAGGATCGGAGACAGACTTAAAGGCGAGGATTGACAAAGCAAGGTAAACATTCCTACAGTTGAATAACATATGGAACTCAAAACAACTGTCAACCAATGTCGAAATTAGAATCTTTAATACGAACGACAAGGCAGTTCTACAGTATGGAGCTGGAAGGTGAAGAACTACTACACCATCATCATAAATGTACAAGTATTTTTAAACAATTGCCTACGTTAGATACTCAATGTCTGTTGACCGGATATCATCAGCAACAGCCTACTGTGAAAGAAAACAAACCAGCTTCAAGCTGTAGAAGAAATTAGGAAAAGACGATAGAAACGGATAGAACATACATTGAGGAAATCAACAAACTACATTATGAGGTAAACCCTAACTTGAAATCCTGAAGGAACGCAGAAAAGAGAAAGACCGAAGAACACACTACGACTGAGAAATGAAAGCAGATATGAAAAGGATGAATAACAAATGAAAAGAACTGGAAAGTATTGACCAGGACAGGGTTGGTTGTACAGTGCTGATGGGTGGCCTATGCTACAACTCCACGAAGAGTCACATGCGTAAGTATTTCATCTTTCACTCTCACTCTCAAAAAAGAGTTCCTTATTTATCATAGATCATTATAAGCTACAATCCAATCAATGCAAACCAGTTATTTACCATTGTTTCAAGTTACATAATACATTTAAATAAAAAGATTTATGTTCGATGACACTTGATAGAGTCAATGGTCATGATTGATTAACAATATGAGTAGAACAGTTAAATTATGAATAGAATTATGTTGTTCATTATGCCAATAAAAATGAACATACTTATTATTAGTTACAAAATTCTATTATTAATATTATTATTTGAACACATAAATATTAGTACAAAGGTACACTGAATATATATGCGACAAAAAAGTCGCTTGGTTTGTGTGTGGACTGTAATAACACCTGGATGCTCAAACCGAAGCCGAAGCAGGTGGTTTTCTTAGGGACCCACGACTGGAGCCTTTCACATAAAAGTCTAATCAACAAGGCATTGAAGCAACGTAAGGAGATTCAGTCACATGGTAGTAGCTGATCAACAATCGGTTCATACATCATTTGTTCCATCAGGATCCTAGAGCCCATGTACATCACTGGTTTGGAATTAGAGTTTTCCAACTCCCCCCACCAACCCGGTTAGAACGTCATTCTCTTTTCGTCGTCTCGACTTCATAAACAACATTAATGCCACGAGAAGGCAGTGAGTAGGACATGTATGGTAGTGTCAGTATACATGTGGCCATGTGAAAGCGTTTGGAGAGGCAGAGTTGACTCTCCTCACCTTCGGCCTTACCAGGGCAATATATAATTATATAATTACAATTAAATAAATTAATTGGTTGAAGTAAGAAATTAACACCGCTGGATGCCAACCAGCTCAGTGGTCTAGAGGTTAAGAATTTGTGCGTGAGACCGATAGGTCTTGGGTTCGTATCCCGCAAGCAATATCGTGAGTGTGCACTGTTGAGGAGTTACATGCTAAGACGAAACGGTCGTTCAGTGCTTCCAGGTTTTTTATGGTGATTTCACTTTAATCGACTCATGAATTCAACTATTAATTATGAATTGACTGTTTCATATTAAGTAAAATAAAGGGACAAAAAATTTCATTGATTTCCACTTAGTTAATCAGATCAAATAGATTATCCATATATTTAGACGGTGGTGTGAATGAAAAAAAAATAATCTTCATATTAATTAGTTAGTATAACGAGAGGGTTGTGAAGATTGTTGAACTCCATAGTTCTATATTATAGATTAACTTTAGTTAAACAACTAGTGAAAAGTAGGAAGCATTAAAAACAACTGTTTCATACTAGTATGTAACTCTTCAACAGTACGCATACATGATTCAATCAGGGATCGAACCTCAGATATTCAAGTCTTAAGATCAATAACTTAACCTTCAGACTACTGAGTTAGCACGCATTCAATTGGTATCATTTCTAACTTCAATCAATTAGCAAAATTATGGATCTACGATCCATTGTCACTGGTGACATTTATTTCACGTCAAATATGATTGAACTTCACTATTAATAGTCTTTAACGAAAACTCTATGATAAGCTCTTAGTGAAAATGTTCGATATGTAAATTTGAACACAATTGATTGATCACTAGATGGCGATCAATGTCATGGGTGTCTAGTCCTTCTTAGTGCAGATCGAATGCTATCGATCATGTTGCAATGCGGCCACCAGTCTAGGTGACTCGACAATGCGTACACTATATATTGAGATTAGATGGTGGTTGGAGGTAGTCGACAAGAAACCCTGTCGACTACCTCCAACCACCATGTAAATTTGAAATAATGATTACAATTTGAATGGAGCTCGGATTTGAATGAACAACTTTTTCAGTTCTTGATCATAAACTCAACTAGATTCATGCAAATCACTTGGCCAGTTGAAAGAATAATGGCTTTAAATCCTTCATGAGAAGATCGGACTGAATGAGAACTAGATATCTAAAATTTGTGGGGTTTATTAGTCACAAACCTATCTTAGTTGGGTATAGTGCGTGCACACGACCACACCAGGGATCAAACTCAGGACCTTCTGTCGTCGCGATGGATGCTTAGCCGGTAAAACCACTGGATTGGCGTCAAGTGATACAATTTAAACTTCAATCAACTTGTTTTATAGCCTGATGACTATCCATTGTTACAGTCTAGATTACAGTGCTTTTTGGTCTTCAACAGCACATCAACTACGATCAGTTTGAGATGAGTATACAAACCCTATTCAATTGGACAACCAAAATGTTAAATGTTGTTATATGTTTAATGAACTCAATTAAGGTAATATCGAGGCATACGCACAGTCTTAAACCTCAATGGGAAGATACAAACCAAACAATACCAAGTGAACCCAATGAATAGCCAGAAATCGACCAACTTGCATTAGTTGGTGTTCAAAACAATCAAGAATCCATTCAACAGTTAATAGTAATAATTTAGCAATAGTACTCTATTGAACTACTTTCACACTACCTAACACTGTATATTGAGGGAAACAGTGGTTGGGTACACGTAATACATTAGTCAGCCACCTTAGTCAATGAGCATTCAGAGTCTCATCAACTGATTTTCCAATTATGCATGGTATTTTGTGTCTAATATCAGGAGTGCATCACTCAATGATTTGAAAACACACGAACAACGTTTCGAAGGCATCTAAGAATAAATAAAAATAATCTTTACAATTGATTGATCACTGAGTATTGACCGATGTTAAGTCCTTCTTAAGGCGAGTTGAATTCTACTGACTGAGGATTTCTATCGACTACCTCTGATCACCATCTAATATCTAGTTATAGTGCACGCGATGTCGAATCAGTAAGCCTAGTGAGTACGATGGAAAGTGATCGACAGAATTTGACCAGCACTACGAAAGATTTGACAAAAATAACATTGATCAGAACTTAGTGATTGTAAATACATCTCAGTCCCACAGGAAATCAGTTGCATCCCGAATAGCTGTAGCAACATTTCTGACTGTGAAGCCAGTTGACACAAGGTCAAATTCTCACGTGGGCATCAGTTACGTCAAGATTGAAGGTATGCCTTGTTGACGAGTGCCTACTAGCACGAAATCTGTATCTAACAAGGTTTAATGTTGCCTGCTTCTCCCCGCCACGTAAATAGTAACTTTGAAACGTTCTCTACTTTTAAAGCATACATTCTTCAGCCGTAAAAAACAAAGAGAACTTTTACCCATAGTATACTAACCGTTTGATTGACAGTCGGATATGTTGCCGATGCCACAATTGATCACAGTTGGTGTAAGTAAGAACGACTTTTAGAATCAATCCTCAGATATTTTCTAAGCATCAATCCATCAGAGATGATGAAACTCTCAATATAAGTGATGTGGTCGGTAAGTCTAACTACTTAACTCCCTATCATTTGTTTAGGCAATGACACAGTTTATTATAAGCCTTAATTCGATCAACTGTATTCGAGTAAAGACCGTTCACAAAATTAACAGATATCGTCACAGAATCTTTCAGTCAAGGTAGTATAAAACTGCCTTTAATACGAAAGAAAAAAACAACTGACACTTACCAAAATCTATACCTTCAGATACTCGACCACGTACAACTGATAATAATACAGCTCCACGTCCATTTTCACATGCCTGTATATATACATCAATCAACAAAACTAAACTACACAGATCCAATTCAATACATAAAAATATATGATAGTTTTTACCCCAAATTCTAGTACAGTTAAGGTAACCAGTAAAGAAAAATATTGTAAAAGCTGTAGGCAGTAATTTCAATGGTTGAGATCATGATTTAATTGAAGCTAGACTACCATAGAAAGCCTGGAAGCAATGGATGGCCGTCTCGTTCAATTGTGGTAGAAAGGGGGCACCGAATACATATGCACCACACAATTCACTTGATTTACATGTGGGCTGTAATACTGCCCGGTTGCCCAAGCCGAAGTAGGTAGTTTTCGTAGTGGGCCACACTCTGAGCCTCTGACCTAGAGGTTTAATCCATAAGGTAGTGGAGCGACGTCAGAAGATGCAGTTTCACGGTAGTCGGTGACCAATAATTGGTTTATATGCTATTTGTTTCCTCAGGATCCTGAAAGTCCATTTCACTATGAATCAATAGTGTACTAATAATGGATCATGTATTTAATTTTAAGTTATATTTTTGTGTGTAAGAGTTGGTGATAACGGAAACAAACGGAACCGGATTCGAACTTGTATCTTAATAATTGAAAGATGAATATTTCAACTAACAAACTATATAACAACTAAATATTTAACTATTAAATTAAAGACTGAAAACTCGAATCCTACTACAAATTTAGATTTTTTTTCTTTCAAACATTGATATCAACATACATTTGACCATAGCTGCCACCTCGACGTGGTGGTTAGGCTTGCCTATCGTGATGACCCAACCGAGCTATACTGGCTGGAACATATGTTCCTTCAGGTTCTACCATTCCAGGCAGGTCGATTGGAGACTAAAAGCAGCAGCTCAAGGTCTGAGGGCGAAGTCGATTTTCTTCTTTCTAACACTGATATCAACATGCATCAATAAGTAACATACTCCGATGACCAATTGTCTAACTTACAGATGTCACAGAATAGCAATACAATAAAACCTAAATTTCACTAAGGTGAATTTAATGATAATCAGTGTCCAGTAAGAATACTTGTATCATGGACAAACTACCATGGAATATTAAAGTGATGATATTAATTAGGGAGAAAATTCAGAGCCGTACATTCTTTTTTAAAACCTAGTTTAAAATTACGATCGACAATGTGATAGAGGATCGAATCCGTCAAGGAGCATCAGTTCCCTGAAGATTACAGGTACAACTTGCTGACGAATGCCAAGTAGCACGAAACCTAGTTTCAGGTTTTTCTGTTGACTACCTCTAACCATCAGCTTATCTCAACACAGTGCACGCAATATCGAGTCACCTAGACTGGTGGCCACATTGTAACTTGTTCGATAGGATTCAATCTACACTAAGAAGGACCTGAAATACATGACCTTGATCACCACTCAGTGATCAATCAATTGTAAATGTATAGACGATAACTAAAAAAAAATAAGGATCGTGGATGTGCACTGCTGAGGAGTCCCATAATAGGACGAAACGGCCTTCCAGTGCTTCTAGATTTTCTATGGTGGTCTAACTTTAAATGACTTATGAATTCAATTATTAAATTAATAGAATCTTCATAAAACTCCCTTTTGAAAATAATGGATAGAATTACTTGATAGATTAGTGAGTCATATTTCTACACTAGTTGAACATCCAACCAAATGTTTAAAGTATTCAACCATACTTTAACTAACGATAAACCTTGATAATGTTCATTTTGTTCATTATTAACCATCACTATATTTGCGCCTACGGAAGTGGTTTTATTTATTTATTTGAACATATAGATACTGATATAAAGGGGCACCAGATACATATGCACCACAACAATCTCATTTGATTTGTGTGAGAGCTGTGATATTGCCAGGGTGTCAAAACAGAAGGTGGTTTAATTAAGGAGCCACACCTGGAGCCTTCAATCTAAAGGTCTGATCCACAAGGCAGTGAAGCAACGTAAGGCGATGCAGTCCTATGGTAGTCGGTGACAATTAATTGGTTCATACCCCCATTCGTTCCCTCAGGATACTGAAGCCCATGTACATCATTGGTTTAGATTCAGGGTTCATCGACTCTCCTAGATGGACTCCCGTGTCCACCAACCCCGTTAAAGCGTCGGACATTCGCTTTTCGTCCTCTCAATTTCGTAGACAACACCCCCGCCACGAAGAGGCAGTGAGCAGGACTACCCTAACGAAGGCTATATACACGTGGCCATGTGAGAGCATTTGGAGATGGAGAGCTGACTCTCCTCACTCTCGGCCATACCAGGGCATTTGGGGGCAGTTGAGCTACTCAGATTACTGGATTGAAGTGGGTGGTAATCTTAAAGGATAGGTTTAGGAACTCAAGAGCTACAAGTCTAATCCATTAAGTAGTGGAGCAACTTTAAACGGTAGAATCCAATTAAGTATGTGATCAAACTAGATTTGTACACCACTCGTCCCTTGAACATTCTGAAGCACATGTATCCCACTGGTTTGGGAACTCCTCCAGATAGACCCTCTATATCTACTAACCTAGTTAAAATGCTAGATGTCTATTTTTCATTCTCTTACTTTCATAAGGATACTCCCCCCTTTCCTGTTGTGAAGGTAGTAAACAAAACATTTCTGCCCAAGATTATAAACCTTTGTCGTACGGGAGCATCACACTCTCGGTGATACCAGTGAATTCGACGCCAGACTTTCAAGTCCTAACTTTATCATTTATATACATGAATATTCTCTTCCAAACATGGACTAATCAATCAGTCAGTAACAACGTAGAACTTCCTACGTATGTACATCAGTTCAAGTTGCCACACCACATTAGCACAGAGATGCAGTTGTCGATTCAAATCCCCTAATAATAGAAGTAGTAAGAGTATAAGCAATAATCGGAAACTTTAGGGTTTGAAGATGTTATTCAAGGAGTATAATACAGTGAAATAAATTTGGGAAGAGGAAAAAGGGACAAGGAGCATTCAGGAGATTAGAATTTTGGAGAACACAAAGAGTGAATGCACCTGTGCCACTGCAAACGATTTTGAGTCTTGTCATTCAAGGTCTCTAACCACCGGTTGCTATCGTCTCACGGATCCCGACTAGGTAGTCTATACCTACCAACATGACTCAGTCCACTTGTCAGTGACTTCGTGAATTTGTGCCATATCTTGGTCTGGCCGCTCCTAACTTCCTTCCCATCTACTCCCACACTATAAAACATCGCACGTCGGGGCAGTCGGTGGTTGGGCATACGTAACAAGTGTCTCAGCCATCTCAACCGATGAACTTTCACTACTTCATCAATTGATTTGCCATCCTTACCTAGTACCTGTTTCCTAACAACTGCATTACTTACTCAGTGGTCCCAGGATATACGAGCAATGTTTCGAAGACACCACACCTATGACCGAACACTAGTAACCTACGAATATCCACTACTCTTACCGGCCACGTTTCACTGCCATAAAGTAGAACGGAACGAACTGCTGCGCAGTAAACACGTCCTTTGGTTGATAGACGGATATCTCGCCTACGCCATAAATGACACAAGTTGGCAAAAGCTAGTCGAGCCTTCTGTATCCGTGCTGAGATTTCGTCACACACCAGACCACAAAGGCTGGTGAGACTTCCAAGATAAGTGAAGCAGTCGACACGTTCGACCACATCACTCCCTAATAGTACAAAAAGATAGAAAACATAAAATATACAGAAGAAAATAAATAGAAAAGAGAAAGTGGAATTAAAAAAGATATGAAAGTCATATGACTGTAATGTTTAAATGATCGATCTGCTTACTTCTCAATTTTATATATACAAAATAAACATTCCTATACTATTTGAACAAGTTGAACTACACAAGTATTTGCTTAATATCAATCAAACCTATTGTGGAATGTAGCTTACTGGCCTTTTTGTTTTTCTTAAATGACAGCATAACTGAATAATTCATCATCAATGATGAAAATGAAGATCATCAACTAGTGCCCACGTCTGAGAGTATAGAGAGTCAGCTCGCCCTCGAAACGCTCTCAAGTGGCCACGTGTATACAACCAAAACCACACAAGTCCTACTTACTGACTTCTCGCCGGATTACTGTCGTTTACGAAATCGAGAGAACGGAAAGCGAATGCCCGGCGCTTTAACTTGGTTGGCGGATGTGAAGGATTTACCTAGGGGAGTTGGAAAACCCTCATTCCAAACAAATGGTGCATATGGGCTCCAGGATCCTAAGGAAACAAATGGTGTATGAACCGATTGTTGGTCACCGACTACCATGGTACTGCATCTTCTGACGTTTCTCCACTGCCTTATGGATTAAACATTTAGGTCAGAAGCTCAGAGTGTGGCCCACTACGAAAACTACCTACTTCGGCTTTGGTACCCAGACAGTATCGGTTTCGTGCGCAAACCAAGTAAATCTCAACTGTTTTGCTTGGAGTAAATACCTTTTGTTTTATTTTGTTATATATTTTCAAGATTATCGTCGTTAATCTATATAAGCAGATTATTTCTATCAAATTCTATCTTCCCTTATGAATAATAAACTTCAATTCTATTGAAAACCATCTTCTTGTCTTTGTAATGAAGACATTAAAGGAAATTACAGTTGGATTGATGGTATCACGTAATAGAAATAGGTATTAAGCACAGATAGGAGAATTTCCTTCCTGTTTCTCTAATCAACTGGAAAGAGAATGATCGACTTTCCGATTATCATATCAAAACTCTGTGATATTCACACATATTTCTGACTACAATTGATGTTTAGGACTGAGATCGATCAGTCTCTGAATGGTATATTTACATCCTGTACGGATTACCTCGATATTGCCAATAAGAAACTGTCCTAAACATCAATCCATTAGCTAGTGACTATCAGGATTCCGTAGCTAAGTGGATAATGAAATGGTATTTGAAACGAACGGCATGGAGTCCGATTCCCGGAGTGAATATAAAATGTAGGACACAAACACAACCAGTTGACGAGTCATAGATAGAACGAAATGTAATAAGAATAAAATCAACTTACCCGATGATAAGCAGCCAATGCTAAACTTGTCTCTTCAGCATCTTGTGTTTCAACAAATAACAATTTATTTCTTTGAATTTGTTCAACAATATGCTTATTATGAAGAAGAAAACAACAACCAAGAAAATTCAATACATAAACATTTTTAATTCTATGACATACTTTAGTATGGAATCAAGTTCTGTAAGAAGAATGGTTTATTCGTACATAAACGATTCATTCACTAGGTGTTGTTTACTTGTATCTTACCATTGTTATTTAGGACTACAATCGATCACCTTCCTTATTGTTTGCCTTCGGAGTACCATTTGTAAGGTGTACAGTTATATATTGTTGAACAATTTAAACAGACTGGTAAAATTCAATGATCAGAGTTTAGAAATTTTTAGCTTCTGGCTTAGTCATGAAGTTTACAAGTAATCGGACAGAGAGAAAATCACCACATTGATTTTATCAATATGTGGTTGTGAAGATTGTTAAGTTTTTTTATTGAGACCATGAATCGATTAGTGTTAGACCACCATTGAAAACCTGGAAGTATTGGATGACCGTTTTGTCCCAGCATGAGACTTCTTCAGCAATGCGCATCCATGAACCCGCACGCGAGATTCGAACCCAGGACCCTCGGTCTTGTATTGTTAACTGAGTTGAGTAGGTGGATGCAAACTAAGTGGTTAGGATTCATTCAGTTATCGTGACAAACATATGGAGATATTTAGTGATACAGCTAAGAATCAATTATAGACGGACAGATCCGTTCACTCTTTAACTTAATCTAAATTTTCAGTCTCAATCTTCCTTCACACGTTTGATTTTCATTATGTTTTGTTAACCCATACACTCTTAGTGCTTAAACTTTATTTTTATAATTACTAAAACTATTTTGATTTCTTTGTTATTTATCTCATTCATTTCATCTCATCATGTTGATGTAGTGTAACAATCTGGACCAACGCATAATTTTGAAATGCTCTACGCTTTTACGACTGACTGACTGAAATCAAAGCATAACTGAAGCTTAATAGCCAGACCTACACACACACACACACACACACACATTGAACTTGAATTAAAATTATACCTTATTTTTAGTTGTCATAACAACAACAATGTCCATATTAACAAATTTTAACATTGTTTCAATGTGAAGTAATAGACAATCGATACTATTGAAAAACACAAAGAGCATCATTGTGATTAATCAATTATAAATACTGTAAATCAATGATGTGAAGATGATAAATGAATGAGCCGACTAAGAAACTGAAACAATCTGACATTAAAACAACCACTTAAGTGATAAGAACACAGTTAAAAACATTTATATACAGAAATAATGAAACTTGTTGATGTTGAATGGTACTATTGAATGTCTTTTGTTTGTTTTTCAATACTTCGAATTAGTTTATCCAGTAGAAACTGATAAGTCTTACCAATTGAACGCTAGATTTGGTTCCTAAGCACTTCTAGTAACCCCCAGGCTAGAATTACACAGTGGCTTGAACACGAGATAAAAGGCGTGAAATATGAAAGAAACACTTAACTCCAAAAGTTTGTTTATGTACAGGGTTTTTATAGTAGTTTAGATGTCCTTGGGTTTCCAAAAAATTCTGGAATGCTACTGAACATAGTAGCAGTATAACAGAAACAATACATGTGACTTTTCACTTTCTAGATATTTCTGGCAAAACTTCTAGTGAACGCTGATTGGATAAGATGCTTCACAATGTTTTCAGAGCCTTTCTTGAACTTTTTCGAGGAGTTTCATGAATCTCCCAAACAGAAACATTATGAAGTTATCACTACATAATCCAGTTTATCTAACTGGAAATAGATTCAAATGAAAAGTTATCTTCTGACTCTTCCTCACAGTTTCGGTTAGCGTTTTTAGGCTAGTTAGTTTTCTACAGGATGGGGTCGCCAACCCGATACCCAACTCTCATCCTTTATATGGGCTTGAGACCGTTAGTAGCCTCAGAGGGGCTTCGGGCGAATCACGATTGACGGAGAAGATTTGGAGGATGAAAAAACATTCACATATTTGGGCAGCATCATTGATGGGCACAATGGATCTGATGCCGATGTGAAGGCGCGGATCGGCAAAGGAACAGCAGCATATCTACAATTGAAGAACATCTCAAACTCAAAACAACAAAGTTGGAATTTTCAATACAAATGTCGAATCAGTTCTACTATATGGGGCGGAAACTTGGAGAACTACGAAAGCAATCATCCAGAAGATACAGGTGTTTACTAACAGTTGTCTACGCAAAATACTTTGGATCCGTTGGCCGGATACTATTAGCAACAACGTACTGTGGGAGAGAACAAACCAGATCCCAGCGGAGGAAGAAACAAGGAAGGAGCACTGGAAGTAGTTGGGACACGCATTGAGGACAGCACCTGACTGTGTCACAATGCAAGTTCTCACTTGAAATCGTCAAGGTTGAAGGAGGAGAGGAAGACCAAACAACACATTACGCTAAGAAATGGATACAGATATGAGAAGAATGAATAAAAATTGGATAGAACTAGAAAAGACCCAGGACAGAGTGAGTTGGAGAATGCTTATCAACGGCCTATGCTCCATGGAAGGTAATAGACGTAAATAAGTTTTAGTCAGTTGTGAATTAGTGGCTTCAAATATTTGGCTAATCAATGTAAGGACACAATATATATCTCCCAACAAATGAAACTTGTAATGCTTTTCAATGAATTGATTATTCTTATGTAAATTTGTAATCATAACCACAATATACATATCATTCAGTGGATCCTATTTCTAGCATTCTCTGAATTATGCAAAAAAGTGATATCTACTGAACTTATTATGTGATATGGAGTAAACGATATTCCGGTTGTTTTTTTTAAAGTTGCCAGGTTTGAAACTATCACGAGTTCACTTAATCTGCGAACGAGAAACAAGACTCGGTGACCAAAGACCAGTAAGCAAGCTATTGACGCGTCCCAGCCCCGCTAACTAGAGGGAGAAACCCAAGCTTGGAATGGGAAGTATATTCTGCAAAACAGCCAGAAGCCCGATAACAACAAACACAGTTCAAAACGTATATATACAGTTCAAAACCGTCCTTGGGGAGAATTACCAAATAGCATACTAAAAGACTCAACGGGCCAATAGCATTTAAGATATTTCCCAGTGGGAAATACGACATGAAGGTGACAAGAGTGCCTTTGGCGCGGAAACAAAGAAATTCAAATTTTCTAAATAAAATTACAAAATTAGGTCCTTTCCCAAGTGAGTTCTGGGGATCTAACGTCCCCAACAAAAGTATTGTACAACACATTGAAAGTCCTTTTTCTTGTTATCAATTCCGATTGTATAAGGATACATAATCCGTTTAATAATATAATAATATCTATCATCATATTATGTTGTGAAAGGAATATATCTTAAATGATTCTACTTACTTGTTCATACCAACTGGCAAATGTTGACTCCTAAAGAATAAACATGAGAGATGATAAACAAGCAATTTATACACATTACTGTAAGTAAATGAAATAATGATTTCATAAATATATTATTGAAATAATAGTAAAATACAATTCTCAAGGTTAAATTCATACCGCCCATCGCTACTATCGATTGAATGGTTTAATGAGGTCGCTGGATTGATGTCGTTGTAGTGGCTTTGCCGCTCGACTGATGCTGAAAAGATGAATTAATTTAACTATTTAAGGGAAGTAAAAGTTGTAACGAGATTTCCGTAGGTGAACCTGTGGAAGAATTTTCATCTTGAACCAAAAGCTATATAATGAAGCATGCAACTGGTTTCGTACTGGACTACATGTATACTGGTATTTACCGTCGGGTTCAGTGGTTGTTTGTTTGTAATTTAAACTTCACCCCATTGCACAAGCAGGTGACTATCAGGACACAGTAACTAAGTGGATAATGTGATGAAGTATGAAACGAACGGTACTGGGTTCGAGTCCTAGAGTGAACATCAACTCCGATATCCAGCTGATCAGTCCCAAATAGGACGAAACGCGCGTTGCCCTGGATTTCACTGCTAGCCACTATCCATGTTTGTTTAAATTTCTAAAGGTTGATAAAATCCTTTTATTGTTTATGTCAAAGATTGTAATCAATCAGCTTTTTTGTAATCATATAACAACATTAAGGTCCATGTACATCCAGCTGACGAGTTATTAAATAGGTCGAAACATTTATCCTAGATTTCACTGTTAGTTACTATCCAATTCATTTCAAAATAAATGAACAGGTGTATTATTTTATACTCAAAAGCGTAGTACATGTGAGATGGTGGAAAAGATTTGTAGCTCAAGTGGATGATTTTGATGGTGTTTTGTTCTCTGAGCTGGATGGTTTGATCGTGGAGCTTTCATAGTTCTTCTGAACGACATCATCAGCACAAAATTCAGATAGAAGTGCTGATGATATCGTTCAGAAGAAGGATGAAAGCAATGGAGAAATTCGAACACTTCACTTCTATCTGAATTTTGTGCTGATGACGTCGTTCAGAAGAACGATGATAGCTCCACGACCAAACCATCCAGCTCAGAAAACAAAACTCCATCAAAAAGCGTAGTACATGTTTTTTCAGGGATTAAAAGCTTAAAAATATCCTTAAAAAATAGGGAAATGATAAAAATACTATAAGTAATCAGTGTTATTTAGAAAGTCTCAAATGCCCTGGTACGGCCTATAGTTTAGAGAGTCAGCTTTCCCTCTACAAATGCTCTCAAGTGACTACGTTCCTACAATCAAAGTCATACATAATTATGTAAATACCTTCGACTCCTGAAAGTCAATCAACTTTCAGAATAATTTTTCTTCCCTACTTCTTAACTTCTGTTTCCCATTTGGAATTCAAAAGTAGAAGATTTGAAAATACTACGAAGGAGTTAGGACGTTCATATTAAATCTTTCAACGTAAAGATATGTCAAAAAATTACTATCAATTGTATTTTGTTTATCTTAGTATTTAGGCTCAATTGTTATATAATATACTCTTGTGGGCCAGGGTAATTTTACATTGGTTTACAGGCGAACCAGACACCATCCAGACTTTCACGTGACAATATAAACAGCACAGCTCAACCCCATTTAACAAGAGAGCCAAACACCGCCCAGGCTTAAAATTTGTAGCCCAAATAGTACGGCTCAATCCCATTTCCAGGAGAACCAGACACCATCCAGACTTAAATTTTATAACCCGAGCAGTACAGCTTAATCCCGTTTCACAAGAAAATCGGACACCATATAGGCTTTAACGCTACAATCTGAATAGTTCAGCTCAATTCTGTGGTGCAACCATACAGGTACCAAGCTCCCTGGTGGACCAAGGTTTACCATTAAAATCAGCCGATTAACAAACAACAGTAAACTTAGTATACTTAGCATATAAGTGAAAATCAATGCTGATATCATCTCATTAAAGTTTAAGGTGAGAAAATGTATATTTATGTACTATTCATCTATATTTGAATGGATGTGTGAAAAGAGTTACACAGGCGAATATCTATACACACATACATCAACAAATAAACATCATCAAATCAAAGTGAAGTATTACATAACTAATTAATCCAATTCAGATTAGATAATAATGATAAACGTGAAAAGAATTTTCATTTCCGCCTTATTTTTTAGAAGTTTAATCGATAGAAACGATAACTGACAAAGTCATAATGAATGTTTACTGTTAATACTCATAGCATATCAATGAAATTAGCATAGATTGTAAGTATTACCATTGTATTGTTACTCAATTGAAGTTCATTTATAGATTAAATGAATGGATAACTTGATTTTGATGGAGTTTTGTTCTTTGAACTTGATGGTTTGATCGTAGAGCTTTCATTGTTCTTCTGAACGACATCATCAGCACAAACTTCAGGTAGAAGTAAAGTGTTCGAATTTCTCCACATATGGTTCACAGTTTGTTTTGTACACCTCGATATCATGGTGTCCAGCAAGGCTGTCCACTATTTCCATTTTTGTTCAACTTCCTCATAGATCTACTGCTGGAAATAACGCTTTCGTCAACTGAATTCTCAGGCATTGATCTCATACTAGGAGGTCCACTTATTAACTTAGATTACGCAGATGATATAGTTCTGTTTGATGAAGACACTGATAAAATGTAGTCTTTTGGTAGCACTGGGCAACAATACCAGGATGTTTGGAATGCGATTCTCCCCCTTTACATGCAAGTTGTTGCATCAGGACTGACCTGCGTCAATACATGAACTAAGGATAGGGAGTGAAGTAGTTGAACGCGTCAACAACTTCATTTATCTTGAAAGTCTGATCAGCCCTAATAGGTTGGTGTCTGACGAAATCTCAGCACGAATTCAAAAAACTCGTTTGGCAATGCCAACTTACGTCACCTATGACGAAAGCGAGATATCTGTCTATCAATAAAAGGACGAGTATACTGCGCAGCAGTTCGTTTTGTTCTACTACTCGACCGCGAAACGTCGCTATTAAGAATAGAAGATACTCGTAAGCTACTAGTATTTGACCACAGATGTCCCAGAAATACTGCTCGCATCTGCTGTGATCACCGGGTAAGTAATAGTGAGGTTAGACACAGGGTATTAGGGAATGATGGTAAATCAGTTGATGAGGTTTTGAATCTGAGATGGTTGGGCCACGTGTTACGTATGCCTGAACTAGTGTTGGGGATAGTTGGAAGAGTTGGGGGCGGCCAAATCAAAACGTGGCATCAGTCCTTCAAGTCACCAACTTCTAGTCTTAGTCATGTTGGTAGATGCAGGCTACTTGGTTGAGATAAAATGTTTACGACACCTTCCTCGTAACTTAAATACTACTGTATAGTAATTCAGTAATATATTATGTGTAATATTAATAAAATTATTGATTATTATTATTATGAAAAGAGCTAGAAAAGAGGATATGACAAGATAGATAGTCGGATCTGAATAAATGCTTCGTAAAAGATTGAGATTATTATTGAGCACTGAAAACTATTCTCTCTTTTAAATTCACTTGGTATCGTTTTACCTGAATCTTTCCATTGATGTTTAGAACTATAATTAATCAGTCACTTATTGGCATATGTGTATACTGTATGTATTGCCTTAATTCACAATCATTATGAACAAAGATGGATAGTGACTAGCGGTGGAATCCAGGACAAATCACGTTTGATTCTATTTGGAACTCGTCATCTCGATGAAGCTTCATCTCAGGACTCAGTAGTTAAGTGGATAATGCGATGACGTTTGAAACGGACGATACTAGGTTGGAGTCGCAGAGTGAACATCAACTCTGAAATGAAGGTACATCCAGCTGATGAGCCCCAAATAGGACCAAATGAGCGTCGAACTGGATTTCATTGCTAATCATTATCCATCTTCTGTTGAGAAAATTTTTTAAAGTCATCTTACTTTCATAGTCTATTAATCTAATTGTTAATGAAACCATTTAATCTAATTCTAGACCCATAGTTCTGTTTATTATTTTGAAGAAAGTAAAACTAAAGCTTTAAGTAGAAAAAAAAACATGAATTCATTTTATCTCGTTAGGTTCGCATCAATTTCTTATAGCCGGTAATATTTAAGAAATTGATATGTTTGAAAAGATTACGAGATCACCTCAAATTAGGCGAACGGAATGAAGGACTATCGACACAACGACAAGATAAGATAAACTATTCTGATACATGCTAGCCCTGCAAACTAGAAAAAGAAGACCTGATTCGGATGAAGGAAAGGCATATTCCACAAGCACACAACACAAGAGTATATATACAGCATAAAAAGTGTTCTTGGGAAACGTCACAAAATAGTATATTAAAAGAGGGAACGAACCAATAACATTTAGAGTGCTTGCAAGTGGGAAATATAATCTGAGGGTAAAAATGGGCGTTTTTTGCACCCTGTGATATAAACTAAATTGTCAAATTTATTGATAATTCCCACTGTGGGTGCTATCTAAACTGGATGATTGGGGTTATTTTTCATGATGATCAAATCGAGGAATATTGGCTAGGCCAAATGCTGCTTTAGATGCTAACTTCCCATACACTTCTTCCATCCTGGTTTGATCCAGAAAATATTTCCCGTCGAGATAGAAGGTGGATAATAGGCATACGTAACACATACCCAAACCAATCACCTCAATTGATCAACATTCATCTCATCAATCGACTTATCCTTACCTAAAACTCTATTCCAGACATACGCATTGTTTACTCTGTACTACCAAAATACATGAGTAATGATTCGAAGACAACTATGATCGAATACTAGTAACCTACGAATACCCTCTATTCTTAATGTTCAAGTTTCATGACTAAACAGTAAGACGGAGAGAATCGCTGAGCAGTAAACTTATCATTTTGTCGGAAAACGGATATCTCATCTACGCCACGAGAGACGCAAGTTGGCTAAAGCTAATCGAGTCTTCTAAATCCATATCGAGTTTTCGTCAGACACCAGAACATCAAAACTGATGAGACTCCAAAGATAGGTGAAATGGTCGATATGTTCACTTCCTATCGTTAATTCAGGCATCAACGCGAGCCGATCCTGAAGTGATATTTTGTATTTGGAGGGAGAGAACTGCATCTCCAACATGCTTGTATTGTACATTTTGGTGATCATAATACTTTGCATTTGTTCCAAGTTTTGATCAAACAGAACCACATTATCTGTGTATTCTAAGTGAACAAGTGAATCTCGTGGTAGAAGATCAATTTCTGAAAAGTCACACGATGGAAGGGTTATCTGTAAAAGCATGTCTATGACAAAATTAAATGTAAGTGGGGAAAGCGGCAAACCTTGGTGAACACCACTTGAATTAGCGAATTTCGATGACAGTTCGCGATAAGTTCTGACACTTCTCACTTATACTCTTAGTTTGATTGGTGAGATCACATAATAACAGTTATGTTATACATAGTTTATACTGGACAGCTGTTTCTATCTAGTAAAGCACTCTTTAGAAGTACGCAACAACGACCCCCAAGTAGTATTTCTGGTTTCCGATAGTTGTCTAATTATCATCGGTAAGACTATAAGTTATAGACGACTGTGGGCAACGCTGAAATGACATTGACAGTATCCACCTACTAATAAGGGCTAAATGATGTTTAGAAAGCAATGTGAAAACTAATAATTATGAGTAACAGTTGATGGTTAGGGTTAAGAACTGGATTTATGGTTTTCATCATGAACTGATATCAACTAGAATGTCAAAATGGTATTTAGTCAAAGGAATGAGTGAATTTCGCGGCAAACTCCAAGACCTGATATCTTAAGTGTGATTGATCCGTCCATAAATTATAGTCTCACCGCTGTTTAATACTGTTTTTCAATGACTGTCTAACTACAATGTCTAGTTACAATGTTCAGTAATATATATTCCATCAACCATTTGCCGACAATAATAAGTGATTTATCATTCAAATGTTAGATTGTATATAATTTAAAAGCGTTTGTATTCTCTTGTTGTTGATCCTAATGACTATAATTGATCTGTCTTTTTTGGGATATGCGCATCTTGAACAGATTGATTCGATATTGTCATTTTACTACAAGATTTCTAGAATAGATGGTTTGTGGTTAGCAATGAGATTCACAATGTGTATCTCGGCTTATTCGGAAATTGTTGGCTGTATATGCACCTACGACATCATAATGTTGAAGTTTACACAGTAACTCTAATTCAGCTTCAAATGCCGAAGTATTATCCAGTAAGCTAATAAGTCTATACATCCACTAACTTATTTAAACCGTTACTAATAATGATCAGAAAGGAATGTTGTAAATAGTTAAGTTAAATTATATTTGTTTTGTCGAATACTCACTTTAATTCAACCATATTCTTATAGATTGGCTAACATAGAGTGTAAATGACTTAAAGTCATTTTAAGAGAATCGCACAAGTTTCCTAGTCAGTCAGCTACAACGTTTATTTGTTTATTAAAACATATAAATAATGGTACAAGAAGACACCAAAAACATAAGCGCCACACAAATCATTCGATTTATGTGAAGTCTGGGATACTGGTCGGGTGCCTAAACAGAAACAGTTGGTTTTCTTAGGGGGTCACACCCTGAGCCTTTGACCTAAAGGTTTAATCCACAAGGCAGTGGAGCAACGTAAGGAGATGCAGTCCATGGTAGCCGGTCACCAACAAAAAAATCATACCCCATTTATTTACTTAGGATCCTGGATCCCATGTGCACCATTTGTTTGTAATCAGGGTTATCCAACTCCCCTGAATAAACCCTCCATGTCCTCCAACACGGTTAGAGCGCCGGACATTCGGTTTTCGTCCTCTGAATTTCGTGAACAACAATAATGCCACGAGAAGTCGGTGAGTAGGACTTCTCTGATAGTAGCTGTATACACGTGGCCATGTGAGAGCATTTCGAGATGGAGAGCTGACTCTCTCCACTCTCGGCTGTTCCAGGACATTTAGGAGCTACAACGTGAGACAAGTATCATTACACTGACATGATTATAAAAGTGATCATAATAAGTTTTTAAATGAAAAATCACGAATTATATAATCAACACTTGTGTAGAAAGCATATTCATTATATAGAATGTGAAAATTAACACTTACAAGATAATGATAACTTGGAAAAAATGCCACAATACCATCTGGGACAACTGCAGATAATTGTGCTAATAAATGACCATAATTACGTATTACGGCTGGAAGAGATTTTATGAGAGAAAAGGATGGGATAAGTAATAGAAGAAAAAAGTTAAATTTTAAAATACTATTTAAAATAATAATACAATGAATGTGTACTGCTGAAGATTCTCATACTGGGACGAAACAGTTGTCCAATGGCCCCCTAATTTTCAAGGGTATGCAAACTTAGATCGATATGTGATGAATACAGTCTAAAAATTAGATCTAACCCTATGAAAATGCATGAAGTGTAAACAAAATCAAATTATATCATACAATAAGGATGATTATAAATGATTTTTTTGTGTCGAAAGAAAACATACAAAGAGGCATCGAATATATATAGGCGACATACAAGTCACTTGATTTGCGTATGGGCTGTGATACTGCCCAAGTGCCCAGACCGAAACAGATTGGTCTCTCAGGAGGCCACTACTAGAACCTTCTACCTAAAGGTCTGATGCACAAGGTAGTGGAGCAACGTTAAGAGATGGTCACCGGTGACGAACAAGAGGTTCGTAAGCGATTTGGTCCCTCAGGTTACTGGAGCCCATGTGCACCATTGGTTTGGAATGAGGGCTTTTCAACCCCTCAAAATGGATCTTCCATGTCTACCGACCCAGTTAGTGCGGCGGATATTCGCTTTTCCTTCTCTCACTTTTGTAAACAACAGTAATACCACGAGAAGACACTGAGTAGGACTTCCTTGACAGTGGTTGTATGCACGTAGCCATGTGAGAGCATTTCGAGAGAGAGAGAGCTAACTCTCCTCACCCTCGGTTATACCAGGGCATTTGAGGCCATAAAACATATGACAATGAAATGGGTTTAGAACTGACAGAAACAAATAAGCATCTAATGTTTAAACCTTAACTAGAAATTAAATTATGTAAGACGATTATCATGACTAGTGGTTGGAAATGTTGAGTGACAGCACTCAAAATTGGTTACAAATGAAGCAGAGGAATTTTCGTTTATTATTCATTAGATAATGAATGTTGAAATCATCTTATAGTTTTGTACTTTACAGATTCATTCATTCTTCTTACAACAAATTGCCTATGATAAATGTTTATAACTTCCAATATTCTAGAATTTGTCTTGATAATTTCATCTCATCCTGATATGGTGTGACAACGTGAACTGATGCACAAATGTACCTTGCTGACGACTGATTGATTGAAATAATCGAAAAGATTAACGTGATGGAATCCGAGGTATATATGATATGTATAGCTTAAAGATATTGGTTTCATTACTTGAATTGAAATACACTAAACCACGTTTAAATGATAAACTGAACAATCGAATCATACTTTAAGGTCAGACCTTTACTGAAAGCTAAATTGATATCATCTAAAACACTACAATTAGTAGTATGCAGACACATACCTATTCAGATAAATAAATTTCCTAACTCTCAGAAACGGCCTGTTTATAGAAACATAAGATCATGTCAGTCAGCTACGAGTATTTCTCATTTCTCTGACGTAAGATGAATTCCATACAAAACAACTTTGAATATCAAATGATTATGTGACATTAAGGAAGCGTTTATGTGATTATACAGCATCAAAATCGATATGTAACTCTTCAGGTAACAAATCTCCACTACTATCATGCATTTCCTTTCAGAGTAACTTACACTATGTCAATGTCAGCAAAATGAGAAGAGAATTGATGAGGATAAGTATTTTATCAGAAGGGGGTTTTGTGGATATTACAGTAATGTAATAGTTGAGATCATGATTCAATTGAAGCTAGATCACTATGGAAAACCTGAAAACATTGGATGGCCGTTTCGTCCTATTGTGGGAATCCTCATCATTGCACGTCCACGATCCCGACCGATAGGTCCTGGGGTCAAATTTCGTGAGGCGAGGTTGTGAACGCATCAGTTCTATCAACATTACAAGTATACCTTGCTGACAAAAGCCAAACAGCATGAAGCCTAAATCCAGAATTTCCTATCAACTACTTCTATTCACCGCTATACTGATAATCACCGCCCAAATTTACTACAAGCAATCAAATGTTTTAGTTTTTAACATCCTTTCAGATTATCACATTAAACATTATATAGATGTGTGATAAGTGAACAATTCAATCAGATTCTATGAGTTGTCTTTGAATTTGGTCAAATAACTATCATTGAACTCTTAAATCTGAATTAACGTGACTAATGCATGATCATACAAATTGCTGGATAATTGAATACAATACAATACGATTAACATGGATTATATTTTTAATTTCCTCATGCATATGTAAAGATTATTGTTAGTATCAGAAGGGATTTTTTGTGGATATTATAGTAATTTCAATAGTTGAGAGAATCATTCAATTGAAGATAAACTAACATGGTAAATCTAGAAACACTGGACAGCCGTTTTGTCTTTTTGTGGAATTCCTCAGCAGTGCGCATCCATGACTCCACCTTGCGAGATTCAAATCCAGGATTATTATTATTATTATTGTTAAATTATATGTGTATTCATTGAAATTCATCATTTTAAATAGTAATTATTATAAAAAGTAAAATGCACTAACCAACATCTTGTCGACTTTCAAATTTTGTTGTCATTGGAACTTGATCATTACCTTTGGATACAATCTATTGTATGTAATACAAATAACAAAAAGGTGTAAACATAACTATTCTACATAATATAAATAACAACAACTTATGTAGATGGATATATAAGCATGATTGATAGGATTAAGATTACTCTCCAACGCATATTGAAAATATATATATATATATCCCCTTGTACTTAGTAGTTTCGGTCATCCTCTTATTCACTTACTACTTAGTACGTGAATGGTATTATATAACTAAGGTGTAAATTTTCATAAATGATTTAATTTCCAACTTCTAATTGTTCACTATACTTACGTTTTCTAATCGGGATATCGAGAATTGTGTTACTGTGGATATAATTGTCGGAGATAATTGAAAATAACTTCAGTTACGGATGAATTCTGATAACAAAATAAATAATTCGAAGTAGATTTTATTCGATCATTTTACAACAAATAAGTGTACTTGCATCAATCCTATTATTTGTTTATGCATTTGAACATATAAATATTGGTACAAGGGGGCACCGAATATATATATATATATATATGCACCACACAATTCACTTGCTTTGAGTTTGGGTTGTGATGCTGCCCGGGTGCCCAAACCGAAGCAGGTGGTTTTCTTAGGGACCCACATCCGGAGCCTTCCACCTAAAAGTCTGATCCACAAGGCAGTGGAGCAACATAAGGAGATGCAGTCGCATGGTAACCGGTCACCAATAATTGGTTCATATGCTATTTGTTCCTTTAGGATCCTGAAGCCCATGTGCACCATTGGTTGGGAATGAGGGCTTTCCAACTCCCCTAAGTGGGTTCTCCATATCCACCGATCCGGTTAAAGCAACGGACATTTGTTTTTCGTCCTCTCAGTCTCATAAACAACAGTAATCCCACGAGAAGGCAGTGAGTAGGACTTGTGTGGCAGTGGCTGTATACGTGTGACCATATGAAAGCATTTGGAGATGGAGAGCTGACTCTCCCCACCCTCAGCCGTACCAGGGCATAGTGAGAACCTGAAATACAAACTTTCACAACACTATCAATCTCGACATCTGGACAAATATAAAACAAGGGCGGTAATACAACTGTGGCTTCGCTTTAATACTAGTCCAGGTATTGAAACCAATGATTATTTATACGGTCTTAATAAGGGACTCTTTAGTAATGAAAACTTATTGAAAAGATACGAAAATCAATAATGGTGCATGAATAAGACCCAAAAAATTAAGAAGGAGAACAAATATATTGACAAATGATAATGATTGAGTATTTCTCAGTTCTTATGAGGTTGGTCACCACCTTCTAACGACTTTAATATCACTTAAATGAATGGTTGTATCACAAAAGTGATCAAATAAACTGATTATTAACTAAACTAGTCTAACTATTTTTAATCCCATATAAACGGATCAATGAGATAATGTTTGGTTTTAACATTAAATAATCCCTAAGTAAGCATAAGCTTTCCAGCCCGCTCAAGATTATTAGTGAGAATAACCAGGGGGTATAAGACACATCATGCTTGATATATGGCCTGATATTAAGGAACGGTTACTTGAACCATGTTTAAAAAGTAATTTCCTAGACTCTATATTGTTCTAATCACGTCGAATATTATAACAGTATTATCAACGAAGTGAAGTACTTATGCAAATTTATAACGGTTGCATCATAAGACCGCAATGTTTTGAACAGCTTACATCATTTATCTTCAACAGTTGTTTCGCTTAAAGGTATATTATAATAGAAAATATTGATGGCGTTTTGTTCTCTGAGCTGGATGGTTTGGTCGTGGAGCTTTCATTGTTCTTCTGAACGACATTATCAGCACAAACTTCAGATAGAAGTCCGTTATCATTAGGTGTACCATTTTTCTTACACTTTGCTCAGCTATTTTCCATCCTAATGGGCGGTTGATTGGTCCACATCTTACACTTGTTGGTAGAACATACTGGCGAAGACACTCATGGAGAAAATAGAGTTGTTCTCGAGTGGAAGCCTGCCTTTTGGCGAAATTCTCCCATTTTCGAACAACGAGAAGCGTATTACGCTCATATGATTTTCAGATGATGGAGATTTGTAGCTCAGGTGGATGATTTTGATGGTGTTTTGTTCTCTGAGCTGAATGGTTTGGTCGTGGAGCTTTCATCGTTCTTCTGAACGACAGCATCAGCACAAACTTCAGATAGAAAATATTAGACAGTTTATTAACCATATACAACAAAATTTATTGTGTCCTGGCTTCCCAGAAATTAGTTACTAGGACAGAGCAGCTGGTTATTATTAATGCAAGGAGACTATAGAGATTATTGATTACATTATGAATGGATGATAATTAGACATCATAACCTGTTAATAACTAGTCAATTTGATTTGTAGTGAACTAGTCAAATACACACTTATTTTTATAAGTACTAAACTAAGCATATACATACTGGATTCACACAATGGATAAACAAACAAACATCATATTATAACATACCATTGGAAGAACACAGTTACGAGCTAATGTCATGGTAAAAGATACTGTATTGACAGGATGAAAATCTAATATACGTGGATACATTTCCAGCGGTGAAAGTGTCTACAAAAAAAAACATAAAAACAGATGCGTTGCAACAACAATTAGACTACTAGTTATGTAAGTTCTCAACTTACATAACATCAGTCAGTCAGCCATCAACAACGTAGAACTTCGTACATACATCAGTTCAAGTTACCATATCACATCAACACAGATGCAGATGTCGATTCAAATCCCGTAGTGGTAGAGGTAGTAAAAGTATAAGCAATAATCGGAAACATTATGGTTTGAAGATATTATTCAAAGAGTATAATTCAGTGAAATAAAGTTGGAAAGAGAAAAAATAAGGGACAAGAAGATTTCAGAAGATTAGAATTTGGAAGAACACAAAGAGTGGATGCACCTGCGCCATTTCAAACGATTTTGAGCCATGTCATTCAAGGTCTCTAACCATCGGTTGCTATGGTCTCGCGGATCGCAACCAGCTAGTGTAAACCTACCAACATGATTCAGTCCACTTGGGAGAACACAATTACATAATATATATGGATAGATAGCTGAAAAAATTTGGAGCAGTGGCTAATTGTTTGAAATGCTCTACTTCTAGCTACTAAGCTTCAGGTTCGAACCCAGCCCCACCTATTTCGGTTTAGAGAACCCTTTAGTACTGTCACCCTTACATCTAGAATGTGAAGTGAGATCAAATACACGAATCTGTACCTGATAAGTTAGTAAATAATAACCGAAGTTTAGAAATGTGATAACAAGGTATGTCCTACAAATGGTGGTTGTTTAAACTAATGACCATAAAAGATGAAGAACACCGAACAACCATTCAACTATCACTACGGTAAATGATTATAAAGGATTAGAAGTTCCCTAATTACATACAAGAGCTAACCAGTTACTTCAGCTGAATAAAACAATTGAGGGAGATTTTTTAAATAATAAACAATAAGAATCTAGTTTGATGTGACTGAGTACACGAATGTTTTTTCACAGAAATTATATCTGAGAATGGTTTTTATTACTTAAACTGATATCACCATAGCTCACCATTGAAGATCAATGATTATTGGGAAGCTTTTTAGGTGGTAAACTGAGATCATTTAGACGTACATACCCAGGATATTATGTATGATGACAGCTATAGCTAATCACTGAAATGATCTGAAAGATATGCAACTCAGCTGGATACTTTCAGTGTTATTGATTTCTTTGAGTTTATAACATCTAGTACCACTTCACACCTACGTGAAAGATTCTAGCTTTTGGACGGACCAATTAATATAATTTTCTGAGTCATCATGTACATATAGTTGATTGTGCCAGTTATCCCCACTCGTAACTATGGTTACCATTACATGAGCGTATCGAGAGAGTTTGTTTATTACTCATTCTATTCGCAACACGTATTTAGCTTGTTCTTCCCATCCGATGATAAATGTTGAACCACGCTTGATAAAACTGAGTAGGCACACGTGCCATCTCCGATTTTCGTCTCTTTGTCTGTCTACTGAAATGAATGTGGGCATTATAAACAACCGACACATTCATATTCGATATTTTATATCCGGATTGTTACTAACAGAATTTGTCGACATAAAATATACAATGTAAGTAAGGTCTATATTTCGTCTACATCATTAACCGTTTTTATCATATTGGTTAGTCAGTCAATCAATCAAAATGTAGAGCCTGATAAGTATATACATCAGTTCAAGTTACTACACTCCATTAGCACAGAAAGATAAAATTGTCACACCAAATCCCAGAACAGTAAAGGTGGCAACAGTATCAGTGGCGTTAGATGAGATTTGGCATTGAAGATACGATTCAAAAAGAAAATATAAATTAGTGAGATGAAAAAGGTTATGATAGATTCAGAATTTGAGGGAAGATTAAGAATGGGTGCACCGTATCGGAATCAGATCACGAAAACAAAAAGCTAAATTGTTCCATCAAGGTGATTCTAGGTGCTCTTATAAGTACAAATGAAATTGTCACTCCCCAATTGCTCACACAGTCAAAGCATACTTCATAGGCGATTTTTAGATCAAATTGGGTCAAGTGCGGTTTTGACAGTCTGGAAGGGTGATTGTAGGCAACTTCTTGGAATCAGTCATATATGGCTTTTTGGAAAGACAGATTTGCTGAAAAAAACAGATTATCTGAGTGAAACATCTTAATGACATCACATCACAGTACAGTCGACAATACAAGTTCATTGTCGGACCTTGAGTTTGTACAATTAGATTGACAACTCCTATTGACTTGTCTGATATGATAGATAAAATCTGAAGAAACATGTGTTCTAGCTAATATATGGTTCAAATGTATCATTTCGATATGAGAGCTCGACCACTATGTCAAGGTAGCAGTTACGGTCAGGTTTACTACAATAAACATACCCTCAAAGAGCGTAATCCTACATTGGTTTTCAGGAAAACTAGACACCCACAATTTTTTTACAACCTAAATAGCATATCTTAAACTATGTAGCCCAACCAAACAGGTACCAAAATCTCTGATAGACCAGAGCTACTTATAAAGCTTTCATTATTATTTTAGACATCATCATATCTTTCTTCATGGAGATAATGGTCTTATCTAGAAAGGTAATGAAAGTCATGAATTAAAGTCCTCTCTAGCTCAGAGAACTTAGCAATATTGAAAAGTAGTAATGAATCAATAGTTAAACCTCGGCAATCTGAAATATATTTATCAAAATTTAAAAAGAGTACATCATTGTTTAGAACTTCCTACAACATTCAACACCTCAATAAGATCCATTATTAATAAAAGGGTATGGTTGGTTTAAAAGTATCATTCTCTAACACACATACAAACATAATAACCATCACTTGAAACATCAAAGCATCATTCACTGCACTAATAAGTTATAGTTTGTTTCATTAATTTACAATCGCTGTTCTCTGAGCGTATTTAACTGACATATTCCTAAATGAGTGTCTGACGTTACACTACCAGACATACTAAATAGAAAGTAGGTAATATGTAATCACCAAAGACAATATTGAAATGTAAATATACAATAACCTTGATCTATCATAACCCAGACTGATTATATTAATCCTGTCTTAACGGTTAAGAAGTCTGATTTTCAGTCATTAATTCTCGGGTTTGAACCCCGCACATCTACGCTTTGTTCATAACTCGGTAATTTTACTAACCCTCACATTTAGAGTAACGTTTGACGCTAGGTAGATGAACATGAACCTCGTAAATGAATATCTAATTGAAAAGAATAGTATCAACGACAAAATTTTAAACGTCCATGTTGAAATTACAGACGATGAAGTCAGTTAACAAGTCCTAGACAGGATAAAGCATGGAGGTTAGACTTCAGTGTTAACTACTCCTCCAAATTAAACGAATTTTCATTCAAAGCGATTTTCAAATGACAATCATGCTTAGCTTTGTTTCATAAATTCCTCCTTATAAAACTAATAAGGATGAGTTCCAATACATAAAAATGATTATCTTTTTTTAATCATTCATTTTATAAATCTGTTGTAAACAATTTTTATTTAATAATTGAGATCATAAGTCAATTGAAGCTAGACGACCATGGAAAATCTGGAAGCACTGAACGACCGTTTCTTCATAATATGGGACTCTTCAGAAGTGTGCATTCACAATCCCGCCTCGCGAGATTCGGACCCGGGACCCATCGCGAATGCCGGCATCCAACGGTGTTAATGACTAACTTCAACCAATCGACAACATCGCGCAACCGTCCACAGCTGTCTTCAGTGAGTTGCTACCTCACAACAGCCCCGGAATTGGACCCTATGGCAGGATCGTGGGTGCGCACTGCTGAGGAGTCCCATACTAAGACGGAACAACCATCCAGTTTTTCCAGGTTTTCCATGGTGGTCTAGCTTCAATTAACTCATGAATTCAACTATAAAATTACTAGAATCTCCACAAAATCCCTCTATGATTATAACTATAGTAGTGTTATGAAACAAACAGAAAATAAACTACACCATGCATGAAGGGTTATAAAGATAATGGATATTCCCTCTTTCCCCTTAACTAACGTATAAACCTGATTTATCTATGAGATTCAAATAAGTAATTTATCATTAACATTTTAGCGAAAAACAAAGATTAAAATGAAAGGAATAAACAAAAAATAGGAAGAAAGGAAGTGAGAAAACTTACACCGGAAGTAATAATTACACTGGTAAATCGTGACATAATTGGTCGTATAGGTAAACTGGCATCCATACAATGAAAATATAACACTGGATTGATGATAGTTGGTGTACGTTCATCAAATGGTTCAATGATTAGACAAAAACCTTGTTAGGAGAAAAAGGAAAAAAAGATAAACAATGAGTTTTTCTTTCGCCCTAAAATACATATATTCAGTAAATTTGTATCATTATTGTAGAATTGAGGAAGACATTTTACATGAACAGTAATAGTGCTATTCCATCAACAATTCTTATTCAGTTTAAATAATGGTAAGCAATGAAACCCATTATTTATTTATTTGGACACATAAACATTGGTACAAGGGTGTACCAAATACATATCCACCACACAATAAAAATTAGGCCAGTTATCAGTGATTTGTGTGAGGGCTGGGTCACTACTTGGGCACCCAAACTGAAACAGGTGGTTTTCTTAGGGGGCCATTCCTCGAGCCTTCAACTTTAAGGTCCGATCCACAGGGCAATGGAGCAACGTAAGGACATGCAGTCCCATAGTAGCCAGTTACCAATAATTGGTTCATATGCTATTTGTTCCTTTAGGATCCTGGAGCCCATGTACACCACTGGTTCGGAATGAGGGTTTTCCAACCGCCCTAAGTGGATTCTCCATATCCATCAACTCGATTAAAGCGCAGGGTATTCGATTTCAGTCTTCTCAATTTCATAAACAGCACTTGATACTTAGTATGAGAGTTCACTTGAAATCAATGAAGAGTTATTATTACCTAGACATTTTATCATTTACACAAGTCATTTCCATCTATCCTTTAGTATTGACTGTGTGTTTAATGCTAGATGGTTAGATGCCTCCAAATGCCCTGATACGATTGAGAGTGGAGAGAGTTAGCTCTCCTTCTCCAAATGCTCTCACATGGCCACGTGCATACAACCACTACCACACATGTCCAACTCACTGCCTTCTCGTGGCAATATTGTTGTTTACGAAATTGAGAGGATAAATGCAAATATCCGGTGCTTTAACCAGGTTGGTGGACACGAAGTATCCACCCAGAAGAGTTGGGAAACCCTGATTCGAAGCCAATGGTGAACATGGGCTCCGGGATCCTGACAGAACAAATGGAGTATGAACCAATCGTTCGTCACCGACTACCATGAGACTGCATCTCCCGACGTTGTTCTACTGCCTAGTGGATAAGACCTTTATGTGGAAGGCTTGGATGTGGTCCACTCAGAAAACTACCTGTTTCGATCTGGGCACCTGTGCAGTATCCCAGCCCACACATAAATTAAATGACTTGTGAGGTGCATATGTATTCAGTGCCCCTTTGTACCAATATTCATATGTTTAAAGAAATAAGAAATAAAACATGATTCTAAAAGTAGTAATGAAATAAGAGGGCAAAAAGTGTGCAAAAATATTGAAACACAAGATATTGGTAAAGATAGAGAATGTGAACACGTTTGTATAATTGTGATCAAATGTAAGTTATATAAGTTCTTCAAGCACTATTAATCAGAAAAATTCAACTGACAGGTCCAAAGTAAGACGAAATATGTGCTTTCTTGTTTCTCTTGTGAGGCACATTTTATCTATTCTATCTGAACAATTAATCAGCTATTCTCCATCCCATTGTGCAGTTGATTGAAGATCTGTATCTTACACTTTTTGGTGGAACATGCTGACGAGAACACTCGTAGAGAAAATACAGTTGTTCTTGGGAACCATTAATCACGATTATCCCAACAGGAAAGAAGTCTAGACCTCTTTACATGTCTTAGAACAACAGTAGACGACTTCATCAACTGGTGCCGTGTTTTGATCCCCACCTCCTCATAAGCTTTTTTCAACCTACTCCTTCAGAGTTCCGTATCCAAATAACCACCAAATATTGTAGACTCACTCTGAGCTTTATAAATGAGCGCCAATAGCTTGATTTAGTTAAGAAGTAGAAGTAGAGGTAGATTACTAACAAATTAAAAAGTAATATACCGACACTGAATGTAAACTGTGTAACATCACTACTCACCTCGAGTGTATGTAGATACAAGTGTTGCAAAATTACATAACAAAGTTAAACTAGAAAAATTGGCATAATCTGCCAATTCTAAAGTATGAAGCAGGGAACGTAATCTTTCAGCGCAGAATCTATAAAAAACGGAAAACAAACAGTGGTATACATTTTTGGTTAAAAAAATTGGTATACATAATAATTATCAGAAGGGGGTTTTTGTGGAGATTCTAGTAATTTTATAGTTGAATTCATGAGTCAATTGAAGCTAGACCATCATGAAAAACTTGGAAGCACTGTACGACCGTTTCGTCCTAGTATGGGACTCCTCAGCAGTGCGCACCCACGATCCTGCCATAGGATCCCATCCCGCGTCTGTTGTGAGGTAGTAACTCACTGAAGACAGCTGTGGACGGTGGTGCGATTTTGCCGACTGATTGAAGTTAGTCATTAACACCGTTGGATGCCGGCATTCGCGATGGGTCCCGGGTCCGAATCTCGCGAGGCGGGATTGTGAATGCACACTTCTGAAGAGTCCCATATTATGAAGAAACGGTCGTTCAGTGTTTCCAGATTTTCCATGGTCGTCTAGCTTCAATTCACTCATGAATTCAACTATAAAACAGATAATAATGATAAGATCTACACAGTAAACTCCTGAAGTATTGAAATACTGATTTTGCTTATTTCAACCACACCTCACTTGAATATAATGATGAGACCAGGCAACCAGTGATTTCGAAGTGAACTACACAGTTTTAAATAAACTAATCAGCACCAAACGACATATCTATGCACAATTACCTACAACTACTGCTGTGACAGCTATGATCTGAAAACAAGTTTGATCCTACATGATTGAAATATGAGATTTGAAAAAGAAAATATCAATTACAGAAGATATTTAAGTCAAGACAAAAATATCCCTATTATCATTATAAAGGTAAATAACAACGTAAAAAAAGCACAGAAGCAACCAACAAAAGTTTTAATGAGAAGCCGTGGCTAGTAGAGTTCAGCCATGTCGCGTATTAGGCAGTTATCTACTAATGGCATTTAAAAATGGTTGCAGGAAATCAAGAATTGACTGAAATCTATAATGTAAACTATTTTATGCCAACTTAGCTGTCTAAATGTTAAGCACTCGCTGTAAGACTTGAAGATCCTGGGTTCGATCCTCATGAGGTTGTGAGTGAGCACTGCAGAGGAGTTCATACTGGGACGAATAAGCTATTCAATACTTAATGACTCTCAATGGTTGCCTAACTTAGGTTAGAGCATGACTAAAACCATAAATCGCGGTTAGTGAAAGAATCATTTTAAAGTGGAAATATAAATTAATGGAATGTGGGTTAAAGAAAATGAAATGATAAAGACAAATAATAGGATAACAAGATTCCGTCAGTCCAAAATAACAGACCAGAGCCTGCTGAGTACATTCATTAGTGAATATTGTGCATACTGGAAATCGAGGAACAAATAGACAGTTTATTAAATTCACTTGATGTTGTTTACTTGTATCTTCCCATTGTTATTTAGGATTGTAATTCATCAGTCTCTTATTGGCATATAGGCATCCTGTGTGGACTGCATCGATAGTGACCTAATTCACAAGCATTATAGGCAAAGATGGATGGTGGCTAGCAGTGAAACCCAGGACAACGCGCGTTTCGTCCTATTTAGGATTCGTCAGCTGAATAAACCCGCATCCCAGAGTTAGTGTTCACTCCGGGACTCGAACCCAATACCGTCCGCTTCAAACGCCATCGCGTTATCCACTTAGCTACTGAGTCCTGATAGCCATCTGCTTGTGCAATGGGGTGAAGTTTATATTACAACCAAATAACACTAAAAATATTGGTTAAACTACAATATACAAACAAGCCTAACAGATCATTTAATTGTTAAGTAAGCTGATATGTGATGCGTGAAAAGTTTGCATAAAATCAAAAACTATATCGCCACGGAAATCATGAGACATGGTAAAGTTGAATGGTTTTCTTGAGTTCTTCCTAGTTATTTTTCAATACTTCGAATTAGTTTATTCAGTAGAAACATTATGGAGTTATCACTACATAGTCAAGTTTATCTGACTGAAAACAGATTCAAGTGAAAAGTTATCTTCTTACTCTTCTTCACAGTCCTGGTTAGTGTTCTTTTAGCGAGTTAGTTTTCTACGAGATGTGTAGCTAGCGCCATACCCAACCCCCGTCGTTTTTACGGGATTGAGACCGGCAGTAGCCCCAGAGGAACTCCAAGGAGGAGTTCTTTCTCACAGACGCAAATAGTTTTATGGAAAATTCATCATAGATCACAAAATCTTTGCTAGCAAATTCTCTGCCGAGTAAGTTAGTGAGATGGATAAATCAAGCATTCATACTTCACTACTCCATCTAATATTCAGTCAGTCAGCTACAACGTAGGACCAGGCACATATATGCATCGGTTCAAGTTGCCACACCTCATTTGCACAACAAGATGAACACCAGATTTGTAGAAGTAGTTACTTCAATGATAGTAATATATAAAAGAAAGATTGTGTATAAGGAATTAGAAAGAAAGACATAAAGTAATTTTAATCTTACGATTTGAGGGAAGACAAAGTGTATACACTGACGCGATTGTGATTGATTCTGATCTATTTAACCCACAGTCTTCAACCGTTGGTTACGATAGTCAAGTGGACATCAACCAAGTAGTCTGCATCCATCAACATGGCTCAGACCAAAAGTTAGTAACTTCAAGGACTGATGTAATGTTTTGGTTTAGCCGCCCCTAATTTTCTTCCATTCGTCTCCAACACTAGTCAGTGAACACCTAATTGAATGATCTCTCTGATAGTTTATTATGAACGAAGTAAGCATATAATATGCTAAAACTGGTCTTTTCTTACTTTATCATAGCAGAAAAGGACGTTTCCTAATAATTTTCAACAGTCTCTGGACTGCAAAGTGAGATGTCTACTGGACTATTTAGGTGATATGCAATAAACGACATTCGACTTTTTTAAGTATTGAAAAACACACCGAAATTCCCTTTCTTATCAACTCCCAGTGACACATCCCCATGTTATAGTTTGATCAAAATTCTTAAGATAACTGCAATGAATGATTCAAAACAGTTTAACAAGGAATAAAGACAAACATAAAAACTGTTGAGTCTTGGTACCTTGATGCAATTACTTATTGCAAACTGTTAATAAGAATGAATGTATTCACCATTTTTCCCATTTACTGTTTTAGTCAGTCGTGCAAACTTTTAAAAAAAGCATCCTTCATGTGATTACACTGACTACTGAATTAGTGGTTTCAAATCTTTGGTTAATCAATATGACATGGAGTATAAAGACACTATATACATCCCAATTGGTACTTGTTATGTAATTTGTGAGCATAACAACACTGTATATATCATTCAGGGGATCCTATTAACCGTAATATTAGCGAGATCTTATTAACACCGTTCTGTTGTTGGTTTAGCCTTTGATATACATTTGAAAAACAACGATATAAATTAATTATATTTTATGGGCGATCAATCTATTAAGGAGTCAGTCAGTCAGTAACAACGTAGAACTTCCTACGTGTGTACATCAGTTCAAGTTGCCACACCTTTTAGCACAGAGATACAGTTGTCGATTCAAATCCCGTAGTGGTAGAGATAGCAAGAGTATAAGCAGTAATCGGGAAGATTAGGGTTTGGAGGTGTTATTTAAAGAGTATAATCCAGTGAAATAAACTTGGAAAGAGAAAGAAGAAAAGGACAAGAAGAATTTAGGAGATTAGAATTTGGGAGAACACAAAGAGTGGATGCACCTGTGCCATTTCAAACGATTTTGAGCCATGTCATTCAAAGTCTCTAATCATCTGTTGCTATCGTCTCGCCGATCCCAACCAGCTAGTCTACACCTACCAACGTGATTCAGTCCACTTGTCAAGTGGCTTCATGGACTTGTGCCATATCTTGGTCTGGCCGCCCCTAGCTTTCTTCCAACTTACTCCTACAACATAAAACAACGCACATCGGGGCAGTCAGTGGTTGGGCATACGTAACACATGTCCCAGCCATCACAACTGATGAAGTTTTACTATTTCGTCAATTGATTTTCTATCCTTACCAAGTACCCGTTTCCTAACAACTGAGTTACTTACTCGGTGGTCCCAGGATGTACGAGCAATGTTTCGAAGACACCACACCTATGATCGAACACTAGTAACCTACGAATATACTCTACTCTTACCGGCCAAGTTTCACAGCCATAAAGTAGGACGGTACGAAGGAGTAAATAACTGCTACTGCAAATGAAATAGATCAATCACAATGTTAAACGAAAATGATCCTACCATATACACAAAATAAGAATGAATTACAGTTGTAAAGAATGTAATTAATAATTCAATACAAAAATACTTCACTAACAAATAAAGAATTGGAACTTACTGTAGTGGTTTACGATCAACACAAACTTTTTCTAAACAATCACGTAAGAATGCTACTGGAGTTTCATGAACCACATGGGCTATACGTAAACGTAATTTTACATATTCTAAAAATCGACGGAGAAACGACAAGAAACTGTCTGCACTTCGAAGTGATCCTGGTACTGATTCTTGAAGTATATCGTCTGGTAAAGCTGTGTTTAGGAAAAATAACATAGAGGAATGGGTGTGAATACCAGATAGACGGAATTTCAGCAAATCTGAGACATATTTCTTGTCAAAAATACACTCCTAAAAAATGTCAACACACTATACATACGTAAAACGTCTTTGTTATGAGCCAAAAAGGTGAAATTGTATTTCAACTGCTTCTCCGTTTGCATGTAGCTCATAAAGTGTTTACTCTCAATTACCGTTCCCTCCGTCTATCCAACTAATCAACTATGGTCGAACTTTGAATCATATGAATAATAAGTGTTTTCAGTGGAACATTCTTTATCTTCCCTGAAAATCTGAATTCCAAAATTACTTTTCCTTTTCTATCCTGTAAATTTATTCATTCTTCTCGAGTAATATCATCTAAGCCTAATCTTGTCTACTATAAATACTATTATTTGCCCCCAAATACCCTGGTATTGCTGAGGGTGGGGAGAGTCAGCTCTCCTTCTCCAAATGCTTTCATATGTCCACACGTATACAGCCACTTACTGCCTTCTCGCGGCAATAGAGGGGTGCTGTTTACAAAATCGAGAGGACGAAAAGCAAATGTTCGGCACCCTAACCGGGTTGGTGAATATCAATGATCCACCTAGAAGGGTTGGAAAATCCTTATTCTAAACCAGTGGTGTACATGGCCTCCAGGATCCTGAAGGAACAAATGGCATATGAACCAATTATTGGTGCCCGGCTACCATGGGATTGCATTTCCTGAGGTTGCTCCACTACCGTGTGGATCAAACCTTTAGGTCGAAGGCTTCGAATGTGGTCCCCTCAGAAAACCACCTGTTTCGGTTTGGGCACCGGTCAGTATGGTAGCCCTCACACAAATCAAGTGACTTGTGTGGTGCATATGTATTTGGTGCCCCTTTGTACCAATATTTGTGTTCAAATAAATAAATGAATAGTTTACTACTGTTTCTTATTTATTTATTTATTTGAACACATAAATAATGGTACAATGGAGCACCAGGTATATATGCGCCACATAATAACAATGAGAATGGGAAGAGAAAAAGAATGTAAGGTGCGTATAAGAGAGAAGAAAAAAGAACAAAAACGACTACAGGTTAGTGGTGTAATAATAACAATAATAATAATAATGGGGGAAAAGGAAGGGTACAACCAGAAAGAATTATTTCAGTTAAGGAAGCTACAACCACTTTTCATAAGAAAGTAAAAGAAGGTTACAGCAGGATCGCCACTGGCTTCTATTCAGAGCCATATGTGATAACATCTCTAGCCACTGTGTTGCACCAAAATTTAAAGCATAGTAGTTTATATTTCCTGAATAGTTCGGTCTAGCTACAGTAAAATAGTTCTTTGCTCAATTTGTCGGTCAGTCAACTACAATGTAGGACCATGCACATATGTGCATCGGTTCAAATTGCCATACCTCATTAGCACAACAAGATGAACACTGAATTCATAGAAGTAGTTACTTCAACGATAGTAATAGGTTGTTTACTTAATTCAGAAAGTAGTACAGGAAGAAAGAATTAGTTCATAGAAGGAAAGGTATAAAGCAATTTTAATCTCACGGTTTAAGGGAATACAGAAAGTGTATATACCTACACCATTATGATCTATTCTGAGCCATGTCACACACAGTCTCCAACCATTGGCTACGATAGTCACGCAGACCCTAACCAAGTAGTCTGCATTTACCGACATGGCTCAGACCAGATGTTATTGACTTCAAGGACTGATGGCACGTTTTGGTTTGTCCGCCCCTAAATTTCTTCCAACCATCCCCAACACTAGTCAGCATTGCGCGTCGTGGTGAATGATGTTCAGGCAGGCGTAACACATGGCTTAACTATCTTAGTCGATTAAATTATAGTTTTAAACTGGGAGAAATAAAATTATCATAACTGACAGTGGTCTCAAATAGGATGAAACGTGTATCCTGAATTTCATTGCTAGCCATCATACATCCCAGTTCATGATGTTTGTGAATTAAAGCAATATCAAGATAATCCACACAGCATGTACATATGCTAATAAGAGACTGAACAATTACAGTCTTAAACGTTAGTGGGAAGATTCAAATAATCAATACAAAAAATGAATTTAAAAACTCTTCTACAAATCTTAACACTATTGAACTTGTTGACAACCAAATTAATTTACTTATTTATATAAACACATAAACATAGATACAAGGAGGCACCAAATGGATATGCGTTACATAAATCATCCCTTTTATGTGAGAGCTGGGATACTACCCGCGTGCCCAAACAGAAGCAGATAGTTTAATTGGGGAGCCACACTCGGAGCCTTCGACTTAACACTCTGTAATCCACATGGCAGTGGAGCAACATAAGGGAATACAGTCACATGGTGTTTGGTCACCAACAATAGGTTCATATGCCATTTGTTCCTTCAGGATTCCGGAGCCCGTGTGCACCATTGGTTTGGAATGAGTGTTTACCAATTCTCTATGTCCACCAATCCGGTTAAAGCAACGGACATTCGCTTTTCGTTCTCTCAATTTCTTAAACAACATCCCCACCGCGAGAAGGCAGTGAGTAGGATTTGTGTGACAGTAGTTGTATACACGTGGTCATGTGAGGGCATTTGGAGAGGGAGAGCTGACTCTCCTATCTCTCGGCCGTATCAGTGCATTTAGGAACAACCATTTGGTGTCAATAGTTCGTGCAATAAAATGTGTGCAAAAACCTGATATTGGGTTACTGAGCAATATCCAATAAAAATTATCAACTCAGTAATCAATAACATTTTCGTTAAGAATGAAAAGTTTAAAATAGGAAGAAATACAAATATATTTTAATTATGATGTTATTTAATGCTCAAGACAATAAACAAAATGTAATCCTGTGCAAAATAAAAACAGATTTCTGTACAGGAGGTTTAAATTGACCAAATGAGTTTGATCAGATTAATCCTAGAACACGCAGAGGTAAGAATATAACAAAATTATGAATGCATATAGAAAACGTACGTTTAAAAAAACCAAAAGAATCTCATACCTGGGTTAGCTAATACCAAATCTGTCTCTTTTGATAACTTTGCTTGTCTTAAACCTTCAACAAGACGTTGATATTCTTCTTTTAAACGTTCCGAATTGTTTATCTTGGCTTCATTAACAGTTTGTGTTAATAGATTTAAACTAGTTGTACATTTTTCTAAAGAACGTCTTGTAATTAAACAACTCATTGACTCAATACAAACATTGTCTATAGAGTAGAAATACAAGACAAAAGTCAATTAACTAATTGACTCAATTTTAGAAAGTAATTGATTTCAAAGCTATATTTACGATATTAAATGACAAGGGATCAATATTGATGAAGGATTTCAAACTAGGATGAACGGGATTTTCGTACGTTTTTTGGATTTTATAAAAACTTTTGGGCCAAATCAACTAACTAGATATGGTTTAGTATTCAGTTTAACAAATTGATGAAGAAGGCGTATTAATCCCATTACTTTCAAATTTTATGGATTTCAGAACATTTCATTTGGCGAAAATGATACTATTCCGTAATACACCACACCTTACTGTTAAAATAAGGGATAAAGCAGGTCATTACTAGAAGATAAGGGACGTGACTCAATAGTCGAGTGAGTAAATCACTAAGCCAAAGTTATATAACATTATAAATAACGCGAAAGCTTCTCCAACTTATCGTCAAGGTACAATTTATATTTTGATGTTGTAAGACGTCTTTTTATAATAATAGAGAGGTACCATATCAATCTTTTCAAATTCCAATAAACCGTTCCACTTAAATATTCGATGACTGAATAAAATGTAGTTGTCACACAAGCATATCTGTGTAAGCGTTTAAACTTTGAAGGAGTATAGAGAAAATAGATAGAGATAGACGTTACATAGATACAACGATTATTTCGAAACCTGAAGGTTCTTTGCTTTATTCAATATGGAGTTGAGGATGTTCACTGGTCAGTACAAAACCAATATAAAATAATTGTCTTGTTCTTCTTGATTTCTCCTCGTCATTTAGTGAATGTCAGTGATTACATCCAGAAAATTACTTTTGGAATAATTAACCTCTTTTCTACATATACTACTCAATTGATAAATAAAATAATGACCTACCAATGTTATGCGCTTCATCGAAAACAACAACTGAATTCTTTGGTAATTCTCGTGAGACAATATTAGCTATTTTCGGATCAAGAAGATAAAAGTAGCTGTAGACGACTATATTCGCATAGGAAATCTTTTATAGCAAAAAGATATAAAATAATAAGTCTAAATTGGGAATACGAAGAATTCAACGTACAGCATATCGCGTAAGGAAGTAAGGACAATAGTTATGCTTTTTGGCATATGTTTTGATATCAGCCTACAAATTGAGGGAATATATTATAATAAATTAAATCTTGATTGGAACATATCGACATACCATACCGTAGATGCCAGTGGGTAACGGATTATCTCGACCGTGAAGATCGAATTCCTAATATTTTAAAAAGTAAAATTATGTTATCAGAAAAAAAGAGGGACTATTTACCTCATAGTATTTACAGTAGGGAACATTCGGGTCAGTCATATGTTTTTTACGTACAAAGCTAGCAGTTAATCGAAAACAAGCAGAATCAACAGCAGCTCCATCACCAGCCTGTTTTACATCACGTTGAATGCATAGATTTTTGCGTGAACTAAGAACAATTCCCAATAGACCACATCCTTTTTCATTAGTTTCCGTTGCATAATATTTATCAAGAACTTTTAATTCATCAATGACTTTTTCTAATTCAGGTACTGTACGTGAACAATAAATGAATTTTTCAACTATTCCAGGACGAGCTTTCATATATGCAACAATTAATGAGAGTAGTGAAACTGTTTTGCCAGTCCCAGATGGCATTTCTAAAACACCATGACCCTTTTTTATCACAATTTAAATACGTTGAACTTACTTTAGCATCTATGGTACGCTTTAACTCAATCATATAATGATATTGCTCTGGATAGATGTACTCATATGGGAAATAGACCAGTAGTCCATCAATATTTATCCTGAGGTGAAATATTATATCCTGAATACTAACAAACTTCATTGTACTGAGTCAGAGAGGTATCGATTGACTAGATGAACAAATACAACTGAATATGAGTTGGTTGACTAGTAACTTGCACAAAAATTCTTTCCTTGAAGAAAACAAAATAAATGGTTATCAGAAACTAAACTTTATGGATCTAATACATCTATACAGTGCCAACCATATTACATGAGAAAATATCAGTAATAAAATCCTTAGTCAATACTATGCATTCGTTACAGTAAAAAATTGCTGGCATCAATTGTGCAATCGGCAAAAATTTGGATGCTGAAAGAACTGCACTGCTTCTGTTTGAGTTTTCTAGTATTTAGTCTAACAAAAGTTTGAAACCGTTTTGTTATAACTCGTGAGTACAAATAATTAGTCTTCATAATTTTTAAGTTTATTTATTTATTTATTTGAACACATAAATATTGGTACAAGAGAGCGCCAATATATATGCGCCACACAAAACAATGAGAATTCGAAGAGAAGTAGAAAGAAAAAAAAACTAAGGAACGCGAAAGAAAAAGAGAACAATGACGAAGAGATTGGAGTAAGGTGGTGTGGTAGTAACGACGGAACGAAAAGGTACAATCAGAAGAAATCTTTCAGGTAAAGGAGACACAACCACTTTTTATGAAGAAAGTAAAAGAAGGTTACAGCAGGATCGCCACTGGCTTCTATTCTGAGCCATATCTGATAACGTCTCTAGCCACTGTGTAGCACCATCTCTCGGACCCCAGCCAGGGAGTCGTGAAGGACCAACACAAGCCAGTCCTTTGCAGCTTTCTTTCATGCCACGACACCATGTCATGCACTGACCACCTCTCCGCTTCTTACAACCAGTCCCAGAGTCGGCAAATAATGCACGACGTGGAATTCTCTGGGACGACATTCGGGGAACATGTTCAAGCCACCGAAGTCGGTGTTTCAAGATGATGACACCAATTGAGTTATCATCTCTGTGCCCGAACACACGATGCCGAACCTCTGCATTACTGACATGGTGTTGCCACTGAATGTCAGCAATCCTTCGGAGACAGCGATGATCGAACACGGAGAGTCGTCTAACGTCCTCAACTCGGAGAGGCCAGGTTTCACAAGCATAGAGCAAAACTGCTCTCACCGACGCGTTGTAGATCCGGCCTTTTACAGCCAGACTAACATCACGAAGGCGCCAAAGGTGGCCCAGATTGGCACAAGCCGCTCTGGCTTTCACTATTCGTGCATTGATCTCATCACTCACACCCCCACCAGCACTTATGCAGCTACCCAGATACACGAACTTCTCGACTACTTCTATCTGCTCACCATCCAGGGTGAGTACAGGATTGGAATCCTGCCAGTCTTGTAGAAGTACTTTGCACTTCGAAGGTGAAAAGCACATACCATACCTACGGACACTGATTGCCAACTGATTAAGTGCGGATTGCATGCCTTGGGCATTATCGCACAGTAAGACAATATCGTCCGCATACTCAAGGTCGAGAAGTCTTTCTCCAGGCAACAGATCCACACCACCATTACTTACATTCATCAGAGCTGTTTCCAGAATGTCATCGATGGCAAAGTTGAAGAGGAATGGTGAGATTGGGCAACCCTGCCTAACCCCACTGCTCGAATGGAACAATGGAGAGAGGTGGTTGTATGCCCTCACTCTGCCTGAGGTGTTTTTATACAGGGCTTTTAGGATGTTAATAAACTTCTCAGGCACACCCTTCTTCAATAGACAATCCCAGAGAACAGTCCTATCCAACGAATCGAAGGCAGCCCTGATGTCAAGAAACACTACGATTGTTGGCCTTTGAAAAGTATGGCGGTGTTCTAACATTTGGCGGAGGGTGAAGATATGATCAATACATCCTCGACCAGAACGAAACCCAACCTGCTCCTCGCGAGTCAATCTTTCTCGGGTTTTGAACAACCTACGAAGAATGACGGAAGCCAATAGCTTGGACGCAATCGGAAGTAAACTTATCCCCCGATAGTTGTTACAAGAACGACGTGAACCCTTTTTAAAGATAGGGACAACTATCGACTCATTCCATGACGTTGGCACACTCTCTAGTTCCCAAACCTTTGTAAACAACGTCGTCAATTCCTTAGTCAAAAAGTCACCACCATCTTTAAAAAGAGCCGGAGGTAAGTCATCTGGGTCAGGTGATTTGTAGCGCTTCAAGAGTTGGAGTTCCTTGTGGACTTCCGCCTCATTTGGTGGATCAGTCGTCACCGGCCATGGAGGGCAGGACAGTCTGACCGATGTTGCCGGAGCAACAGGCCAGTTGAACTGCTCTTCGAAAAATTCTGCCCACCGTCCAAGACGTCGATGGATGTTAGTGATTGGCGTTCCGTCATCCTCGCAGATTGTTTCACTCACACCAGACTTCTTGCTGCCAGTGGCTCGGATGAGCTGGAAGAGCTTCCGGCAGTTACCAGATGCAGCTGCTGCTTCCAGCTCATTAGCACGCTTCGACCACCAGGCTTCTCGGTCCTTACGCAAGCTTTGCCCAATTTCCTCACGTAACATCCTTCGTTTATGGTCAAACTCACGGTCACCCGGAGTAGACCGACAGGCTTCAATGAGTTGAAAGGAACCTGAAGAAACCCAGTGCTTATAAGCGGGACGTTTCGCGAACCCACAACTGACTGTTCCCGCCATTTTCATGGCGTCATGCAATTGCAACCAATGCTCATCTATACTTTTCGGTGGAATGGTAGCTAGCCTAGAAACTAGCTCGGTTCGATACTTACTTGCAACAGAAGTTGCAACCAGCTTGCTAACATCAATCCGTTGATGGCGTTCACTTCGTTGTCCACTGAAAAGTAAGGCAAGATTGGCACAGACCAAGGCATGGTCAGAGTCCAGATAGGTACTCCAAAAGGAGCGGCAGTCTTGTACACAACCACGCCAGCGGTAGCTGATCGCGATGTGATCAATCTGAGTCCAGGCTTGAGATGCAGAGGGAGGACGCCAGGTGGCACATCGGCGATGACTGTGCCGAAAGTTAGTGCTAGCCAGAAACAGGTTGTGGTCTGTGCAAAGTTGCAGTAGACGGTCCCCGTTATCTGACCTGCGACCAACGAGTCCCCATCGGCCACCTAAACGACTCTCTTCTGTGCCTAGACGCCCGACCTGAGCATTCAAGTCTCCGGCTAGTACTACAATATCTGTCGAACGCACTTTCTGGAGAAGAACAGATAACTGGTGGTAAAACTCATCCTTAATTGCATCCGGGCTGCAATCTGTCGGGGCATAGGCGGAGATGATGAAAAGACATCGTTTCTCACGCCGATTTCTTCTCACTTTGATGGAACTTTCTAATCTAACAGCACATAACCGACTGTTAATGGGGATCCAATCGACTAGTGCTGCCTCAGCTCTAGTGCTTAGTGCGACACCAACGCCAGCAAGACCAGACGAAGATGCCACATAGTCCTCGGATAAACGCACGTAAAACAAGCTTTTTGAAGTGACAGATGGAGAGCAAATTTGTAGTACTTCGCCAGAGTCTTAAGTACGGGTCTCGGATAGACAACACACGTCTATATTAAGACTTTCCAAAGACATAGCCAGCTCTATCTGTTGTCCGACCTGCATAAATGTGCGAACGTTGAAGGCAGCCAGTTTGAATGGTGCACGTGGTTTCAGAAAAACTGCTTCAGTTCTCGTATTCGGTGGTAACATACAATTTTCAACCGGACAGTGACTCGAGAACGTTTAGATACAGTCGAATTTCCACCAAAGACGAGCCGCTGTATAAATATAAAAGAGGGTGAATAATGTGGAAAATAATAATAATAATGATAATAATAACAATAATGACAATAATAGTAGTAATAATAATATTAGTATTGATAATGACAATAATTGTAATGATAATAATCTGAGTCAATTGTTTGTTTTTCAAAGCGAGAAAGGTAATTTCCATAGGCATAAAGAGTTCATCAATTTGTGTGTGGGCTGTGATACTGCCCGGGTGCCCAAACCGAAGCAGGTGGTTTTCTTAGGGGGCCACTCCCCGAGCCTTTGACCTAAAGGTCTAACCCACAAGGCAGTGGAGCATCGTAAGGAGATGCAGTCCCATGGTAGCCGGTGACCAGCGATTGGTTCATACGCCATTCGTACCCGCAGGATACTGGAGCCCATGTGCACCATTGATTTGGAATCCGGTCAAAGCGCCGGACATTCGCTTTTCGTCCTCTCATTTTCGTAAACAACACCCCCGCCACGAGAAGGCAATGAGTAGGACTTCCCTGGCAGAGGCTGTATACGCGTGGCCGTGTGAGAGTATTTCGAGAGGGAGAGCGGACGGCGAGACTCTAATTTAGCGACGACCTTTGAACGAATCTTAAATGACCTTGACAATTATTAGCCAATCAGAAGACAGTTATTATAAAGTGAGAATATATTGTAAGTAAGTAATGAATTACAGTGGATATTCTTCTTTTACATGATTTAAAAACTTGTTGAGGTTTGATGAAGGTTCAGAGGCTCTCAATTCATAATGCATATTGTATAGAAACTCGTCCATAGGGTTAGTGGTTAGGGTTGTAACCTGTCAATAGACATCTCTTCTCTAAAATCCGATGTAAACCGATCGCTTGTTAGCACCCTAACCCTAACCTTAACCCTAATCTAACCCTAACCTTAACCTAACCCTAAACACTAATCTAACCCTAACCTTAACCTAACCCTGAACCCTAAACCCTAACCTTAGCCCTAAACCCTAATCTAACCCTAAACCCTAACCTTAGCCCTAAACCCTAATCTAACCCTAACCCTAACCTGACCCTAACCATAAACCTAAACCCTAAGCTTAACCTAACCCTAAACCCTAATCTAACCATAAACCCTAACCTTAACCTAACCCTAAACCCTAATCTAACCCTAAACCCTAACCTTAACCTAACCCTAAACCCTAATCTAACCCTAAACCCTAACCTTAGCCCTAAACCCTAATCTAACCCTAACCCTAACCTAACCCTTAACCCTAACCTTAACCCCAAACCCTAAC